AGCCGCCGCCATATTTTTTTAAAGAAAAACGTTGGTCACGTGATTTATTGCTTTATTACTATTGGCTTAATTATAAATAACTGGGACTAATGCGTTTTTTAAGTAAACATTGGACAACAGTGGTTGTTTCACCTTAAAACATAGTTTTTTTGTTATGACTTTTAAAATTAAAATAGCTTAGTACTAGAATATCATAAAAATATCTCTAACTCAAAATTTTCAAAAAGGGGACATCTGTGGTTTTACCCGTGTGGTCTTCATATATATATATATATATATATATATATATATATATATATATATATATATATATATATATATATATATATATATATATATATATATATATATATATATATATATATATATATATATATATATATATATATATATATATATATATATATATATATATATATATTCACCCTGCCATTGAAAAATCAATTTTACATAAATACTACCATATATTTAAATGTATTTAGAATGTCATAATCATGTTATACAATAAATTTTCAATCCAACAATGACTTAGACTGTTGACCTTGCTCTTGCTTGCTGCACAGAAGGAATCAAAGGTGCAATTTGTCTTCATTTTTGCATTATAAATAAGTTTCTTCCATTCCTAAATTACTTTGATTGCGCACTCTGTGCATTGATTACTTTTGGGTATCTGTAGTATGGGTGGCTCTTGCTTCCAGTTATTTTTTAAAGTGTTTAAAGCCTTTTTGTATGGATTCAGTATTTCAGCCAAGTTATTAAAGTTGTTTTCGTTGTACAGTTAGTCTGTAAACCAATTGTCTGCCCAACCATATGATATAAATCAATATACTCTCTACAGAGCTGTCCTTGTTGAATGAATTAAAATGAAGGCCAGGATTGCTAGTATAGCTCTGGAGTTCCACCTCGCATTGCTGATATTAGGTATTTTCTGAAACCTGATCAATGGAAAATGTCGCTTTTTCTCAAAAAAATTGGAACACTTGAGTGAGATGAAACAAAAATTTCATATCATCTCTCCAACCTGATGTTTCAAGAATTACTTCTATTCCGTTATCAAACTGTGTTTTCAGTTGTTTGTACTCCTTCAACTGTTGAGATACAAATGGATATTCAATGTATGGCAATTGTGTTTTACTTCCAAGTTCTTTATTCGTCACCAAATGGAGGATTCGATCTAATACATGCTGATGACAACTGATAAACTGAAATTTGTTGATGTGTTTCTTTGTGAACATTTGTTGCAATATTACAACAACACCATTCTTTTTTCCGGTGTGATTGCTTGTGGTATCTGCAATAATCATCTGTATTGAATTCCATAGGTGAAATTCATTGAGGACCGTAGAAATTCCTTGAGCAATAGTTAAAGCCCTGCCATCTACTAAGCCAAGGACATCCATTTTGATTTCTCTTCTTTTAATTTTAAGGACGACCACTTGATAATCCAACTTTCCATATGCAACTTTTCAATCATTTCTTCAGCTTGATTGCCTCTTTGATTGTTGACTTATAAATGGCTGTTTGACAAGGAGTTGGGATATCATTGTATTTCACGAGCCAATGTCTTGCAAATGTGAGCAGCTTTGTTTGTTGATACTCTTGTGGAGGTCACCAAGTTGACTGTAATTTTGCTTTTATGATGTTTTCTGCTTGGTGTAGGAGTTGTCTCATCTTCTCCTTCATTGTTTTCATATTGTCTTCAGCCTCAGAGTCAGAATCACTAAAACCAGGATAGTAAGATGATGAGTTGGATGACTCATTAGAAAGTTTTAATCTTTTAGAAGGATGTATCGTTTCTTTACTGGCTGCTTGGCCTATTGAGTATCTAACTGTTCCTTTGTTTTCCACTTGGAGATGGTACAATTGCTTGTCCTCAGAAGATAACCATGTTTCATCTACTATAGTAATATCAAAAATTTCATCAAGGGGTTCGTAGCTTCCCTGCTTGACACATTCATCATAACATTTTAGTATTTTATCAAGCTTTGCTTGTATAACTTGATCAGATACATTAGAAAAATTCAGTTTATTCTTCCACAATTTGGTGACTTTTTTGGAAATTTCCACTATTTGCTCCTTTCTTCTTTTGATATTTGGTCCAAGGAAATGGTTGCGTCCAATAATTTGCTTTTGGAGAGCCATTCTGCACTTTTCTTCAAGTGAATATTCTTTTAAAGGGACCATTCTTCTTTTATGAGAGTCTTCAAATTTTGCTAGATTATTGGTCCAGACATTTTCTCAAAGACAGACTTTTATGTAATAACTATAAAATTAGATGAGCAGCTATATGTAGTCTAAAATGTTCTAGAATATTCCAGAATGTTTTAAATTGTTCTAGAATGTTCCAAAATATTTTAAATCGTTCTAGAATGTTCTAAATTGTTCCAGAATGTTTTCAATTGTTCTAGAATATTCTAAAGTCTTTTAAAATATTCTGTTATTTTCCAAAATGTTTTAAAGTTCTAAACACTTCTAAGCTATACAAGTTTTAAATGATTTGGAGAAAAGCCATACGTATTAGTAATAGCAGTAACAAGATTAAATATATGACAAAACGTATCTTGACTTGCAGCGTGACTTTTTTTAACAACCGAGAGGAATTGAACATGTTTTCAATATTTTCTAATGAAAGTTCATTAATTTATGTCACTGGAATTATTTTTTTTTAAAAAAAAGTCAAAAAGTCATAACCCTAGTATACATATATATTCATACATATATATACATATATATATATATATATATATATATATATATATATATATATATATATATATATATATATATATATATATATATATATATATATATATATATATATATATATATATATATATATATATATATATGTATATATATATATATGTATATATATATATTTTATATATATATATATATATATATATATATATATATATATATATATATATATATATATATATATATATATATATATGTACACACACATATATATATACATATATATATATATATATATATATATATATATATATATATATATATATATATACATATATATATATATATATATATATATATATATATATATATATATATATATATATATATATTGTGTGTGTTTATATATATAAATAATATCTCTAATTTTCCAAATATGATTTTCTGGAGCAACTGATAGGGTTTTCGGGTTTAACCAGTCAAATGTACCTTGGCATGATTTGGAATACTCAGTAGCACCAGAACTGGCCGATTTTCCTTTTTTACTATTTTTCTGTTACTCAATACATCTTGATATAATTTTCTTTTTGGTTTCACCAATGTGTATAGAGTTGCATGAACATTTTATTCGGTAGACGCCTGGGTCTGTATTTTGAGGAAGTTTTGTTTTATTGTTACAGAATATATTGTTTAAATTTAGATTTGATGTAAATATAACTTTTATGTTTTATTTTTTAAATTTTTTTCTATGTTTGGGACTAAAAATTGGTATCCATGGTAGCTTTACAAATGTTTGGTTGTCAGTTGGTTGATAAATGGTATTCTTTTTCATCTACTTTTATGTAGTCTCTGGCAATATTTGTTAAATTGTTCTTGTCATGTTTTCAACAAATATTTTGATTAAAAATTAAATTTCTTGTTGAAGGTATTTTTGAGAACATATTCTTTTTGCAAGGAATAAAAACCCTTTAAATACGCTGATTATAATATTAGGATTAATATTTAAATTCGGTTCAAGTTGATTATTAGTTATTGCTATTAGTTATTTCTTTTCAATGTATTTGAAATTCATAAGCTCCATGTATTGTGTTCGTAATGTTAATATCTAGAAAATTAAGTTATTTTTGGTGGTTTTCGAGTTTAATAGTGTATTTTATGGCAGGATTTTGTTTAGGATATTTAGAAACATTTGTTGTTGTTTTATTGAGCGAGCCTGATAATTGTCTACATATGTCATGAAAGTTTTTGGTTCACCTGTATGAATAGTAGCTATATTAAGTGATTTTTCTTCCTATATTTTGTAGAAACGCTTTTGCAATAACAACCATTAAGGAGAAACCTATAGGACCTGAATTAGGTATTCAGATTTTGTTTTCATATAAAGATAGCAAATACTCAAAGAAAGCTCTATTAATAGGTGTATGAAAGTTATGACTCAATCAATCAATTAATACAAGCAGGTGGAATTTTATTCACTTCTTTTTTCAAAGATTTGAATAATGATTCGAATATAAATGCTTTCAAATTTAGCGTTTCCCATAATTATTCTGTTGGGTTCAAATCCTGTGGTTAAGATGGCTATTTTAAAACTCACACATTTAAAAAAAAAAATTTAAAACTCCATTCTGTAAAATTTGGTTAATATATTCTGTAAAATTTGGTTAATATATTCTGTAAAACTTAGTTGTTGTATACTAAAAAATTTTAACCAACAAGATTGCAGGTAGCCATTTATTGAGAGTAAAGAAGGCAGTTAAAAAATAAAAAAAGAAATGAAAGTGAGATGACAATTGAAAAGCAAAATAGCAAATGATTTAAAAAATTTGTAAGTTATAAGAATCAGGAAAGTTCAACAAAGAAATAAAGTTCCTTTTTAAAGAACATGATATACCTATTCAGATAAATGAATAGGTATATCATGTTCTTTTTAAAGTGTGGATATGAATCAGATAAAAATAAAACTATGAAGCATTGAAATAACAGATTAAGTTAAACATTAAATTGTAAAGTCATTAATTGCTGTACTGTACTTCAAAAAAATAAAAAGTAAAAAGGTCATTGAATTTTAGGATTTTTAAACCCATTAGGAATTCTGCAGTATATCGGGTGCCATTGGGATGGCTAACACCCTGGTATTATATATCCTGTGTATTATAATTATTTTAACTAAGTCTGTGTTACAATTATATAGTGGTGTAAACTTATATATAGTGATATGATCCTATGTAGTGATATAATCCTATAGCGATATTAGCTAGGTATGCAAATAAGTCTGTCAGAGATCATGAACTTATTTTTAGTGATATAACAGTCAAGTATGCAAATAAATCTGTCAGAGCTCATAAACTTATTTTGGCAGCACGTAGCCAATGCTGGTGTGCAGATCTAAATGATGTAGATGAACTTTTATTAGATGGTAAGTTTAAATTGAATATTTTTTAATACAAGCATTATTATCAAACTATCAAGTTAATTCCAATAATAAATGATAAATGATTATCATTATTAAATTATTATTATTCCATCAAGATATGTAAACTCTAACAAAAATATGTAAAAATGTAAAATATAGTATCACCATGATCGGTTAAAATTTGGGCAATTTTAAATTGAGTTTTTTCAAAGACAACTCAACCAATTGTAATGATTTTCTTTTTATAATGATGCTTACATAGTTAATTTATATTTCAATAAAAATAAATATAGCCTTAATTTACGACGTGCAAGTAATTTAATTTTTTGTAAAGTACCCTCCATCATGGTCAACAATTTTACTTTGCGACACTTTCTATGTAGCATTAATCCATAAATCTCAGAAATTTTTAACATTATTTTCACATTTATCTCTTTTCCTCAATATTCCTTTCCCAATTTGCCTACTAAGATTCAATAACTCTCTGCTCAGGACAGTTTGGTGGGTTTCAAAGGATGCTATCCTTTGAAAAAAAAATTGAAAATTTTCTTATACCACTGAATTTTTGAAATAATGGATCAATGCCAGATCTGGCCAAAATAAAGTTGATTGTTTGTGCTTTTTAATTAGGTGTCTTTTTTTAAGCATTCCCTCGCATATAGATCTAGTGTCAACGATTAGTTTGTTATGAAAGGAAAGCTTCTAAAACCTCAACTGCAAATTGCTAGCAAAAACAATGAACTCGAAAGTAATTTTCTTACTCAAATGTACTTAAATTTGTCAGATGCTTTATAATGTTTTGATTGATAATAGGTTTGGTTACCTGAAAGCATCGTGTGGTCTTTTTTACAGTAAGTTTCATCGTCTTCTAAAATGTATAAATTTTTTTTTCATAATTAACTTAAGCAAATTTTTAGCTCATCCAATTGCCTTGATTTCTCCATCAAGTGACCTTTTTTTTTTTTTTTTTTTTTTTTTTTTTTTTTTTTTTTTTTTTTTTGTAATGTTCTTTCAGATTTTCTTTTTTGAATACTATTTGAACAAAAGCTTTATTGCATTTAAACTTTGTAGCTAAGTCTTGTCGGATTTTGATGAATTGAGTTGACTATTGATTTCGTCTTCTATTTTGAAATAAATCTTAATTTTCCACCACTTCCCGATTTTTTTTTTACAGTTTCGTTTTCCTTATAATATTTTATAATAATTCTAACAGTTGACTTGGAACTTTACATGCTTTTAAAATCATGAAATATGAGAATGATAGATTTAATGTAAAATTTTTAGATTTTCTGACTCTTTACTCAACTTTGCAAAAACTAATAAAGAGTAAACAAAACTACACTCAAACGCAAGAAAATTAATTGTGTTGATATCATTAAAAAAAAGTCATAGCAATTCATTAAGTGGTTTTTGAGAAAACTCAATTTAAAATTGTCCAAATTTTAACCGATCATGGTGATAGTGTAAAATGTAAGAAAAACTATAATCATATTGAATATATAAGCAGTAATTATAATTAAAAAAATTTCTTCCTTGAATTTTTTTTTTTTTTTTAATTTTTTAATTTTTTTATGGTTTTGGAGGAAGGTTTTTATAACTCTTTGTTTATAACTAAATTTATAACTCTCTTCTCGTTCTACATGTATAAGCATTTACATAATCCTTTTTTTTTATTTTTAGTTATTAATTATTTTTTTATTTTTGGTTATTACTGGCTACGTTGTCAATACTATTTATATCATTTTTTTCAGGTGTAAGTTGTGAGGTAGGAAACATGCTAATCAAGTGGGTGTATACAGATCATGCTGATGTCCGTAATGATGAGTCTGTTATCATAGAGCTTGTAAAAGCTGCAAACAGATACAAATTAAAAGCGCTAAGAACAAGGTTTGTATATGTATACATATATGTGTGTGTGTGTGTGTGTGTGTGTGTGTGTGTGTGTGTGTGTGTGTGTGTGTATATATATGAAAATAACTTTTGTTTTTAAAATAAATAGTTAGCCATAGGTAAAATTTTGTTTTCTTCTTTAAAGGTTTTTAATTAAATATATAAAACTAAAAATTTAATAGTTCTTTGAAAACTAATTAAGCTCTATAGTTATTCGTTGTCGCTTTTAGGCCGATATATATATATATATATATATATATATATATATATATATATATGTATATATATATATATATATATATATATATATATATATATATATATATATATATATATATATATATATATATATATATATGTATACATATACATTATATTTATACAATAATAGTGTATGTATATATATATATATATATATATATATATATATATATATATATAATATATATATATATATATATATATATATATATATATATATATGTATATATATATGTATATATATATATATATATATATATATATATATACTTTTTTTAAATGTGGTGTTAAAAAAAATAGTTTCCTTTATGAAAAGGTTTTTTACTAAGTTGGCACATATGGCAAGTTATACTTTTTTTTTATGACTAGCACTAACATGACACTGTCGCTAGACTTATGATTATTTGTGTTCTTTGGTAATCTTTGGTGATTTTCATGAGAAGGTTTGCTTATATAATCCTTTGCTACATCCTGCAAAAATGAATTGCAAAGTACAACCATATATTATTGCAAAGCAATTAGCAGATGAAAAAATATAACACGTTTATGGTTGTGCATTAAAGCAGGTCATTTTTCAACTTTTTACAATAAATGCTTAGGCCATATCAATTTTAAATGTGTTAGCCCTTATGTAAAACTAATGCAAAAAAAAAAAGATAATTTTTAATATTTTGGTTTTCACTCGAACCTTAAAAACTGAGGTTTTGCGGTATACTTGGTTTGGCGCAACTTTAGACCGGTAATTCCAATTTACTCAAAAACATCTTCAATTTAATCCTTGATCCCAAATACCCTTTATTAGACACCTAGACAGTCATTTTAGCTTAAAAACTTATGATTTTTAAAGTTTACAAAGATCTTTATTTTTGCTATACTTTGGTGTAATATCTTGCATAACAATATAGTAGACTGTAATGTTGAAAAAAAAATTTAAAAGTTGTCTTAACTGCCACCCCAAATACTACCAATTAGAAGCCTAAAAAATTAATGTTTCATTATACTAGTTATATAACAAAGTAAGAACTAATTACTTAAAAAAGCTTAAGTAAATTCTATTTAAATTCTAAAACAGGAATAAGTTCACTGTGAGCCATTGTTACTTTTATAAACCCATCTTGCCTTTTTTGTGTACTTCTGTGTACAGGCAATTCTGGAATTTCCATTGGGATTTCTAAGAGTTTAATAAGTTCTTCTTTACTAATCTTGCATGTGAGCAAAGGTTCGTAAATGTCAGTAGTCCAATCAATCAGTTCAATAATAGTTTCAGCAGGAATTTTTCTTGATCTAACAGCAGTATTTCATAGAGAACTTAAATTTCTTATTGAAAGTATTGACTTCACTGCAAACATCCTCTCTTCTTTATCTTTGCTACAAAGAAGTGCTTAAAGTATGGATTTACTGTGAGCATTCCAGGCAGAGCAACAAAACATAGGGTAAAACTGTTTTCTGAATATTTAAGTTCATTTTTCAGACAAGTTCCATCTGTTTGATAATATGGTATGGTCCGTTAGTCCATTTTTGTTTTACCTAAACATTTTTTATTAATAAAATTATCCATACACACAAGTAAAAATTATCAAAGTAACAAAAAAAAACTACTTACCTTAATTTCAAACCATAATACAGAGTATACACCAACACAGAACTGTACAAGGTGTTTTAATTTCTCAGCATTGCTTCCATTTAGTCCATGGTATGAACACCAGATTCTGCAAGGCCTACTTGCCAAATTTAACCAGCATGCTTGATTGTGGGGAACAACTTAAATTTCTTTTAAATTGTCTGGCATTATTTTATCTTTAATAGCTTTTGTTATCTGGTATAGATATCTTTGATCACTAGATAATTTTTTTAAAGTACCTTCGTTGATATCTAATAAATCAATTTCAATATCTATAGATTGAATTGCATTAGTGGAAATTTTGAGATCATTGGCAATAGGGACAAGTTTAACAATATTGCCAGAAAATATTTTGTTTGATATTATTTTTCCATCAATAGTTTTGTTTGAAATTTATTTTCTAAAAACTTTCAAACTTCAAAAATACTTATTTAAATATATGCATGGCATTTAACATCAAATATTTACCTGCATTTATTATCAAACATCTACCTGTATTTAGATTGGTTGATTAACAGCCAGTTACAACTAAAGTGGGTTCTATACCATGTTCTATAATCCATTTATATATATGTTCTGCTATATGTTCTGCTGGGGTAACAAACTCAGATCTGTTTTCTTTTTCATTTGTAAAATGGTACAGATATAAATCACCTGGCTTTGCACAAACTGAATAATGGTCTTCTTGTACAAGTCTGTGGTGATATTTTCCATCTTCTCTAATCAAAAAAAATGTCTCATCCTTTCTCTTATCAAACATTATACATTGAACTCCATTTCTATTATCATTTTCAAATTTTAATTCTTTCATCACCTTCAATTTAGTGCATTCAAATTTTGAAAAAAGAAGTTAAAAAGCTAGATAATGATTAACAGACGACTTAAAGGGCTTCAAATTATATGAATCAGGTAAACAAGATGAAGTAAGCGAGTTCCAAAGATCTGATGTTTAAGGAATAAAACTAGATGAATAAGATTTTTTAAAGCACTTAGGAGCAGTCACAGTAAAAGGATGAGACTTAATTGAATGGCGAGTAACACAAGAATGAAATATAGTATATGGCACATGAGGCACTAGCTCTTTAGAGCAGCACCCATTATAGTATTTATAGAAAAGAGAAAGAAAAGCAACATTATGATGATGTGACAATGTTTGAAAGTTGGCTGCAAGAACAAGGCATCATTTGAAGATCAGCTCCAGATATGGCAACAGTATTCCTTATCATACAAGGACAGATTTGAGATTTATAGAGATATAGAAAAGAATCCAGAATAAGAAAGTGGTAAGCATGATAAAGCGATGCAACTTTAGCAGATGCTAATTTTGCAATGGATTTGATAAATGATTTTTATAAAAAATCAGAAGTAAGAGTTAATCCTAGAAGAAAAAGGTAGTTAACTCATCAAGTACATTATCGTTCATAAATATAGAAAGATCTAGATTATTGCAATAACGATTAGCTGAAAAAAATTGAGTTTTATATGAGTTAAAGTTTACTTATAGCCACTAGGAGTAGCAGTAGCAGAAGTGAGATCCTTTTCAAGCTCAAATGCCACCTCCAAGCAATCAGAGAGTGTTGGTTTCTTATCAAGACAAAAATAAATGGTAGTACCATCAGCAAACAATGCCACCTCAAGTGTGAGAATTTCTGGGATATCATTAATGTAAATTTAAAAAAGTATAGGGCCAAGGATAAAACCTTGAGGAACCCCTAAAGAAATGAAGAAAAATGCTGTCCATAGAGGAAAACTTTTATACTACAATTCGTAAGGAGAGATTCAATAGTCTTAAAGATGTTACCTGGTACACTGTAAGAAAAGACCTTATAGAGAAAACCAGCATGCCAAACTTTATCAAAGGCTTTACTAACTCCATCATAAAGAAAATCATAGAAAGAGCCCCAGGTAAGGTCAGCTTTAAGGTAGTTGTAAAAGAAATAATAATAGGGGGATTCTGATGATGAAGAAGAATGAGATAATAGTTTTAGAGAGATCAAACCATAATCAGAAGCACCTAAGGGTGAATGTGGAGAAATTTAGCACTGACTAGTATCAGAAAACAGCAGAGCAACCATGGCGCAGTGTTAGCGCACTTGTCTCAGAAACAAAGGATCGTGGTTCTTTGGCCAAGTTTTGCGACATCGGTTAGAAAGGAGATGTGAACTTCTTATTAAAAATACTCATCAGCGGTGCTCTGATAAGACTGTAAGGATTTCTTAGGGCAACTAAATAAAAGAAAGAAAGAAAAAAAAAGACAAAAGTTGATTAGAGAAGGTAAATGATTCAAATTGTCTGAAAAGAAAGTTGGAAAGTTGACAAATTGTTTTAGAGATTGAGATTGCTAAAACTAATAGTCAAAGTTGTGGACCTTAACAACTGCAGAGTCATTAGCACTAGAGCCAATCCATTCAGTGTGATGAGTATTAAAGTCTCCAATGACAACAATACTGCCTGAAAGATAAGAAGATTTTTATCAAATTTTTTTATAAAAATTTTTTTAGAATTTTTTTATCAAATATATACTCTTTAATACACTCTCAAATTTAGAAACAAAGTACAGAATTTGTTATTCATGATGTTATAAGAAAATAGATATGAAAATATGATTATTCCTGTACCAATTACATAAGGTAACTTAATAATTACATAAGGTAACTTATGAAAAAATTATTCTCTTGAAAGATTAGAAAAAGATTCATAAAATCAACAATTAGTTTTTTTAATAAATAAGCTCTTAAAAAAAACTTCAGAGAAAGTTTTTTTAGCAACATATTTAGCACCATAAGTAAGGAAGGAGGCATGAATTTCCTATTTAATTACTCTCCACTGTGCTCTATGACAAGACCGTAAGGTCAGGCTTGGTCGGGAAGCGGGAGCGATCGCTCTCGAATACTGACCACGGAAATTATATTTAGATGCGTAAAACTGGCCAGGTTTTTTAGTCGTTTTGAGAACATTTAAGTTTATGTACGAAACAAAGAATTTTTGTTTTACGGACATACATGGAAACATAAAAAACTTGAATGTTCTCGAAACATCATTGTGCGAAAGAATAAAAAGAATATTTGCGAACACTAAAAACCCGCCAAATTAACAAACAAACTTATTCTATTGGTTCAAAAAATACGCTGATTAAGCGAAATAAAGTTTCAGAGTAAAATCTTTTTGAAATTGTATTATTCACGATAGCATTGTTTTAAGAATATATATTATTTGTTTACGAAAATAAATGTTTTAAATATATATTAATTAAATTGTTAAAGTTTTAAAAGTTTATTATAAATCATAAATTTTATGAGTATATTTTTATTTTTTATTTTAAAAGAGATTGTATTCTTTATGCAAATGTAATTTTGTGTATTTGTTTTTTATGGTAACGTATCTTTTAAAGCAATTTTATGATTTAAACAAAGACTTACATAAATAATTGCGTTTTCAATGAAGTTATAATCGTTAAAGTTAAAACTAATTATGTAACAAACATATAAGAAGTTTATATGTTTGTTACATAAACAACGCATACAAAGTAACTCGCGGATGAACAAGCATCGCGCCTGAGGTCACGACAGAACACAAATATATAATAGCAAATAAATAGATATAAAGAAAAGTTTCTAGATATTGGTTTACTAACTCTAATTATTTTCGCTCAAGTTGCCATTCTTAAAACTCGTTATTCTTTTTTCTGCTTTAAATACTAATTAAAAAGCCCACTCACTAAACATCATTACCGATATTGTGAAGCAGTTTCGCTTCCTGGTCATTAAGTATTTTTAACCTTTTTAGTTGATTTCTATCTTGATAATTTAATTCCTATAGTATTTCAATGATTTAATTATTCCATTTGTTTATCTTACTAAGAAGACTCGCTTCAAATATGTTAAACTTTTCAAACTACGCGAAACATAAATTAGGTATTAAAAAAATTAACTTTTTTATTTATAAAATAAATTAAGCTGAAGTAAAACTAAAACTTGCAAACTTAGTTGAATAAAGAATATTTGTTTCCCTTTTAAACAATCGTAAGTTGTTACTTTATATAAAAAACATCGCTTAATTTAAAAAAAAAAAAATGTAAAAAAGCGATGTTTCGAAAATATTTGTTCTATATGTAATTTTTAGAAAATATTTGTTCTATATGTAATATTTAGCTTAAAGTTTTTTCGCGTTTAAAGATATTTTATTTGCCTACTTTTTTTTTTTTGTAATTGTCTCTCATCGGTCCAATTAATCTTCGTCGCTTTTTTTTTTTGCTTTTTAAAATGTTCTCAAAACGACTAAAAAATCTGGCCAGCTTTTCGCAACTAAATATTATTTTCGTGGTCAGCAATCGAGAGCGATCGCTCCCGCTTCCCGACCAAGCCTGTAAGGTCCTCTTGGGCACCTAAAATAAAAGTTAAAAAAAAAGCTTTGTGGTTGCATAGTTGAAATGTGTAAATAAACCAATTTAACAATTAATAGATTGTTGTAGCACATTTATTAGTACTTTTAATTTTTGTGTTGTTATAGTTCATATAAATATATACTTTGAAATATTAAAAAATTAAAACAGAGATTTACCTAAACCCATTATTATTATCCTCAGATAGAATTTCATATATAGATTTGTTTTTTTTTGTTTTTTTTTTGTTTTTTTGTTAAGAAATAATTGTAGACTACTTTGTTAATTCTATGGATATGTTGCTCATTTTCCTTGTTAATAAATAAAATTGTTAAAAGAAAAGTTTAACATATAGAGTTAATATATTTGACATACCTAGCTCCCATGACCTGTATTACTGGTCTTCTTTTGCTGGTGTTAAACAACAAAGAAATAGTTAATACTACAAAATAATCAACAGTGAATTTGTTTTGTTAGAAAATATAACATTTATGTGTTGATCATAAAATGACTGAGAAAATTTTGCAGAGCAAAATTTCTTAAGGAGAGTAAATAAGAAAAATATCATAGAGTTAGAAGGATTGTTGAATTTCCTCATAGAAAAAAGAACATGTGAGAGGTAAGGTATTCGAATGCTTGCTCCAAGTATGCTTATATAGTTTCTCTGACATTACATATATTTTTCAAGTTATCTGTAAACCTGGAAACTATTAGATTTTCTTATTAAAAATGAGCATAATTATATTATCTTAGGTTATATCATTTATCTCATTTTTGTTATAAATTAAATTGAATAATTATTATTTGAAAAAAAAATTGTTTTGAGCAAAAACATTTTGAAAATAAAACTGTGCTTAAAGTTTTTTAAATTTTAAATAGATGTGAACAAATGCTGATGTCAGCTGTTTCAGTTGCTAATTGCATTCGATTTTATCAAACAGCTGAAGATATTGGGGCAGAATCATTACGTACATACTGTGGTGAAATTATTGCTACTCATTGGGATGATTTAGAGACAAAAGACTTTCTTGGAATGAGTGCGCCATTATTGTATGAAATGTTCAAAACTAAATCTAATTTTCCATTACATTTTGCTGTCCGTCATCACAGAGAAGATGTTGTTTTTTTATATTTAATTGAGCACAATTTGCAAGTAAGTGTTTTCATAATATTATTTTTTTTATGAAAATATTATAATGACAAAAGAATAATTTCAAAGCAAATAACAAAATAATAATTATTAAAAACAATTATACTTTAAACAATGTTAGTATAAACCAAATAACAGACAATAAAGGACAATACAGAAAGTACAACAAGTTTTCCCTTAAAACTAAAGCGTAATTTTTTTGTAATCTTCAGAAACCTGCAGAAGAGGTTTCTCAAGTTGGGCTGCGCTATAATTAAGATATACTTGTCATTGGCAACTGTTATTACTAATTATAAATTGTACTTATCATTTTTTTAGCTAAATATATATATATATATATATATATATATGGAATATGTAAATATAAGTTTATTTTTGAAACTTTTTGTTTTTGCAATAATTTATAAGCAGCGTTTAAAAATATAATTAATTTTTTGTATTGTTCATGCATGTAGATTCCTGCTAAGTTAAACGAAATAGAGCCTCACTCAGGTTTATTACCACTTCAAATTGCTTTAAAAGAACGACAAGAAAGTATCGCTAAAACATTAGTGTTACATAATTGTGATGTAAACATGGCAAATAACAATGGTGAGACACTTTTGCATCAGTTTATACGTGAAGGTGATACCTATGCTTCAATATTTCTTATTGAAAATGGTGCTGATGTAAAAGCATCAACGAAACATCTGGGAGAGACTCCTCTTCACTTAGCTGCTTCTTATAAGTAAGGGAAAAATACAAATATATAAAGATAGGTTCAAAACTAAATGTGACTAACTTTTTCCTTTATGTAATATTTATGATTTTTTTAATTTTCAAATATATATTTATAGATTTTTTTTTTTACAAATTAGTTTTTATTAAAATTTAATTATCTTATTAATAAAATTGATCTCAAAAGATAACAATATTTTTGGTTTAACACATTTTTAATTTTTTTTTTTTATTATCGAGTTTGGATACAGAGATTTCCTCTCCAAATTTAATGTTTAATTGTTTGTTTTTTTAGATATTATCCTTCAAAAAATAATAATGCATCTGAAGCTATGGGCTTAGTAGCCAAACACCTTTTGGATTATGGCTCAAACATTAATGCACTTGACAGTGAAGGAAGGTACACAGTATTTTTGATTTTATCTAAGATCTAATCACAAATTTTTTTATTAAAAAATATTTTTTATTTATCACGTTATATAAAAAAAACTTGTCTATCAGTGAAACGATTTTATACTTAGGACTGCATTGCATGTTGCTGTTGCTGCTTCAAATAAAGATGTTTTTAATGTTTTGTTAGCAGCCAAAACGTAATTTTTTTAAGAATATTTTATTAAATATACATTTAATGTCTTATTTTTTTAAGTTTTTATAATCAAAAAAGCTTTAATTGGATTACCTTTAAATTTTGCAGGATTAATTTAGAGTCACGAGATAATAATGGTAATGTTGTACTGTGGACAGCTTTACTATCTTACAAAGAATCTTTAGATAGTAATGATAAAACATCTTATGCCTCTATGTTAATAAAAAATGGAAGTAATCCAAATGCTGTAAATCCTTTAACTGGTAAGCTTTTTTTTTCTTATTTTAGAGTTTTTAATGCTTTTGAAATAATATTTGCAGTTGAACATAGCACTTTTTACTGTAAATTTTAATTATAATGCTCATATGTTCAGAAGTAAACTTATTTGTTCATTTACAGGTGATTCTTTATTACATCTTGCAGCAACATTTAAAAATGAACATGCTGGGCTGTTTTTAATTGATCATGGTGCTCACTTAAATCATACGAATAAACTTGGTGAAAGTCCTTTACATATTGCTTCACGTAATGGTTTGTTGCTGTTAGTTGAAAAGCTTCTTAAGAGGTTAAAAAAAACATTTCATTCTTTAACATGAAGTAAAACAAATAAATTGTTTATTGTTCAAAAAGTCAAACTATAGGTTATTATCTTTTTAAACAACATGTGTAAGGAAAATTGTGTGGAAAGTTGATATAAAAGATATGCTAACAGCATATAAAGTATTAAAAATGCTACCCAGCCAGGACTTTTTAACTTAACCTTTTATACAATGCTGCTCAATAATTGGGTTACTTATAACATTTAAGTTTTATAAAATGAAAGTATTTTTATATATATAAAAATTTTGAAAGTTTTGAAAAATAAAGATATTTTTAAAAAACTGCTCATAAGTTTACTCATTCACTTATCACAAGTTAACTCATTCACTTGTTTTTAACAATTCATTTGTTCAATATTTTATAATTAAAGTTAGTAAGGAATGTCTACATTTTTTATATTAATCATAAAAGTTTCAACGTAAATTAATGTGGTATTGGTGTTGTGGGTGGTTGAGCACTTTGTAAGCAAGAAGTTTTTGTTGTCAATCAGTTTGTCGAGGTTTATGTTTTGGAGTTACAGAGTTCACAGAGGGAGTTTTTATAACCACAATTTAAAAAAAAGTAGCTTCCTTGACTGTAGTGGTCTTCTCAGTGTGAATAGTGAATAACATTTTTAAAAAAACTGTCAAACTAATAAAAGTCTCTGGCCTTATGGAAATAAAATTAGTAATAATAAAAATAACTAACTCTAAACCGAATGCGATTTTTCTAATATGATTTTTATAATATACAGTGTCTCAAAAAATTATCCGACCAAACATTTTTTAAATATTTTTCCTAAAAAAAGTGTATTTTCGTAAATTTTGATTTTTTTGGTAAACTCAAGATTAATAAAAACAAAAGATATTTTTAAGATGTTTAATTTTTAAAGATGTTTTTAAATAGATTTTATTTATTTTAGTGTAAAATATAAACCACAAGATTTTCAGTCTTAAAATAAAGTAACTTAGGTTGTTTTTTTATTGTCAAAAAAATATTCGACCAAACATATTTTTTGTTCCATAATAAATTATTAAATAACAAAACAATTATTTTAATACTTTTTAGGGCCTCCCTTTGCTTGGATTACAGCTTCTAGACGTCTAGGCATTGATTCGATTAAAGATTCTTCTGGTTGAATCTTTTCCCAGGCTTCTTTAATTGCCACTTTGAGAAAATAACCGATCTCCAATTTTTCAGTCTAAAACTTCCCACAAATGTTCAATGGGATTAAGGTCCGGTGATTGCGCAGGCCATTCCAAGACCTCAACATTATTTTCAGCAAACCACTCCTTGGTTTTAGTGGCACTATGCTTGGAATCGTTATCTTGCTTAAATATAAAATTATATCCTTGCCAAAGTTTTTGAGCATATGACTTCAAATTTTGCTTTAAAATGTTTCTTTATTGCACCTGATCCATTATAGTATCAATAAATTGAAGTTTCCCGACACCCTTCCAAGCCATTGAACCCCATACCATCACGTTACCGCCACCATACTTGACAGTTCCTCTCACGCAGCTTGATTTATAGGCTTCTCAAGCTTTTCTCCAAACTTTTTAATCTCCATCAGATGACTTTAAGTTGATTTGTCGCTCCACAGGATCTTTTTTCAGAAACTTAACGGCATGTTTTTGAACTTCTTAGCCAACTCCAATCTTCTTTTCATGTGTTTTTTACTCAAATATGGTTTATTACGCAAAAGTCGTCCTTGAAATCCCTGGTCTTGGATACGATTTCTGAATGTCTTATGGGATAGTTTGATTCCATATTTCTTTTCGGCTTGCTCAGCCAGTTTTCGAACAGAAATAAAGCGATTTTTCTTGACTTGTATAATTAAGTTTCTATCAAACTCTTAGAAGTCTTTTTTTTGTGACCCTGTCCTTCTTTTTTGGCTGTTGTTCCGATCAAATTATACTTCTTCATTATGTCGGATATTGTATTATGAGGAATTCCTGTCTCTTGCTGCACCTGACGATAGGTTTTACCCTGATTGACTAGATCGACAGCTAAATTTCTCTGAGAAACAGTCCAGTGACGTTTACCTCCAACCATTTTACTTCAAAAAACATGAAACCTTTTTTTTATATAAAACTTTTTACTACAAAAAAAACAGTTTTTTTTTATGCAATTTCATTAATTGTATAAAAATTTGCTTAAATATTTCAACAAATTTCACATAAAGTTAGTTAAACTTACCTAAATATCGCTTGGTCGGATAATTTTTTAACAAGCCTATTCAATACTAAGTTTCTTTTAGGACAAATAATAAACCAACTCAAGCATGAATCAAAAAATATAAACGCTAAATAACATACTATTCCCAATAGAATTAAAATGACAGTCTAAGTAAGTATCGCTATTCATTGTTTTTAGTATAATTTAGAGCGTAAACATTTTTTTTTTTGAAAAAAACTTGTTTGGTCGGATAATTTTTTGAGACACTGTAAGTCCAGAAAGTAGATTGCAGTGTGTAAGCAGTTGTATCATTACAAAAAACCTCATATAGGACTGAAATTAAAATGTTTTACTTCCAGTTGAAAAGTTATTCATAATAACATCTGTCACACAATTTTGAGTAATTTAATGCGAGTTAATATGATAATCAAGCTGCTTTAATGTAAATTATAGCCAAATAATGTCAAGGTTTTTAGAAGTTGTGTAAATCATATCCAACCAGGTTTATTAGTTACCAAGCAAAGCAAGCAAGAAGCTACTTCTGAGTAATCAAAAAGCCAAGCATCTCCAGTAGGCTAAAGATCTTCAACATTTGTCTGCTGTTATATGAAGCCTAGATTTTTAAGAAGTTGCATTACTAATTCATATAGAAGGCAACATTTTTGGCCCAGAATGAGCCCACTGTTATATGGTCTAGTTATATATATATATATATATATATATATATATATATATATATATATATATATATATATATATATATATATATATATATATATATATATATATATATATATATATATATATATATATATATATATATATATATATATATATATATATATATATATATGTATATATATATATATATATATATATATATATATATATATATATATATATATATATATATATATATATATATGAGTTCAAAATTTGAAATATATAAATCTGAAAGCTCAAAAATTCTTACGCTGTTGTAACTTCTCATTGTGACATTAAGGCATTAAGTTAATGGATTTCATAGTCAAATGTGTAAAGGTTTGATGAAAAGAAGTTTTTGCAAAGTTTCTGCTTACACTGAACTTTTAAATATAGTTTTCAAAACAATAATAAAAAGTAAAGGGTTGAGAACTGAACTCTAATGCATATCAACTTTAGGTTGGTTCAATTTAATGAGAACTTTTTGTTGCAGTTGCTATTATGTACTTACGTACCTGCCAGTGGATTTAAAAAAAAAACTAAACATTAAATATTGTCACAATATTGCTGTTCTTGAATTGTTACATTTAATTGTTTAATATTCAATTTCATTTAAAAACAATTGTTTTAAGCAACAATCCTTTTAAGGCCTCAATAATAATAAGTTGTATATAATTAATAATAATCAGTTTAATCAGTAAAAATTATTGTCATTTCGAAAAGGACACAAGGCCAATTATTAAATCTTTTTAAAATCAGCAATAAAAGAATTATAACATAAGAGTAGATAAATAAAGAATGTATATAACTATGTAAGATAAAGAAATTAAACATTAGAGTAGATAAATAAAGAACGTATATAACTATGTAAGTTTTATATACTATAAAAAAAAACATAAATCATACAGGGATTTGTGTCCTTTTCAAAATGACAGGTTCGATTACTTATAGTAACTAATTAATAGTAATTACCAGGGCTGTGGAGTTGGAGTTGCGGAGTTGCGACATTTTTAGTGGAGTCGGAGTCACTAAACAAAATTGCGACTCCGACTTCAATAGTCGGTATTGCACATGCATGTACAAAACATTCAATTAATCTTATGTTCATACTAAATCTCAAAGAATGTATCATAAATTTGTCAAAAAAGAAATTTTTAACTTATCACGTAATATTTTTCAAAGAATTCAAAGAATTTTTCAAAAATTTTGCTCTGGAGTTGGAGTCGGAGTTGTGCTCAAAAAATTTCAACAACTGGAGTCGGAGTCGTTACTTTTTTTTTACGACTCCACACCCCTGGTAATTACAATAGTAATAAATAATAGTAGTATTTACATATGTGTATTCAGCAGCTGACCCAAATTATTAACATTTTAGGCCTTTTTTTGCAGCAAATAAAAATTTAAAAGTACCATAAATTTGGAAAAGTTTTAGCTATAGTAAGATGTCTACTGTTTACAAATTGTAAAAAGAACTAAAACAATTACTGTGTTTGCTGTTTATAAAAATAAGAATTATGCATTATTATGTTTTAAAATTAGGTACTTGTACAATATATTTAAATTATATATATCCTTTAATTTGCTCAAATGGATTCAATTTTTTGTTATTTCTTTGTAGTAGAACAAAGTTAGATTTGTGGAGAGTGGTTACAAACATTTTGAATTTTCACTATGTAATTTTTGACGACCATAACTAACCACTTTTAAACTATTTTTTATTTATTAACTATTTATCTTTTGTTTTGATTGCTGTTGTGGTGTTAACGTAGCCAAAATAACTGCTATTGAAAACTTGTTAATAGGAATTTATTTAGTCATAAAATTGTATTGAGTGAAAACGCTGTAGTTGTTTATTTATTTACTATTTCATTTTTTGTTGTGTATACTTAGTGGTGCTAACCCAAACTATACTACTACTGCCACAGACGCTTTGAAAGCAAAGGAAGCTGCTAGAAAAATTGAGTTCCAGCTGATGTGTGATGAATCAAGACGTAGAATAATTATGCTCGAAAAGTCAAAAGCCATGAAGAGAGTAAAAGAGATCAGAGAGTTGCTCCAAGAAGAAGAGAAGTTAAAGTTGCAGAAAAAAAAGAGTGAAATCAAAAGTTATCAACCTGAAAGTACAAATCCGTTTTCAGAAGATGATAATTCTAATGCATATGATGGCAATCCTTTTTTGGATCAAGACGAAGAAGAGGGTTTGCAATTAAATCAGTTAGATAGAGGTTTCATTTAAGTTTATTAGATTTATATAAAAAGTTTTTAAGATTTTAAAAATAAGTAACTAAGATTATAATTAGAAGAGTTTTCATGTTTACTATTATGTTTTGAACATTAATTATTTTATTAATATATTTTATTTGATTTAAAAAATATCAATTTTGAGTTAAAAAATTTGCAGACCAAGGGTGTATTACAAAAAAAAGTTTATTGATATCAAAGGAAATCTTTACAGAAAAAGGATATCAAAATAATAATTTCATATAAAAACATCAATTACAATCTAAAAAAATCCAAAAGGTTCAACTAAATGCAAACATCAATGGGAATTGAGTCCCATATTTCTGTGATTTTACTGAATAAAACATTATGATTTTCAGCTTGATGTCTTTAAATTTGATGGTCAACATATTCCCATAAATGTTCAATGGGATTTAAGCTTGGTGATTGGGATGGCCACATTATTAAAAAATTCTTGATCTAATTTGGCTGCATCTTTGAGATTTTTATCCTCCTGGTAATATTCATTCTGGAGATATTTTTACTTTTGCATGAAGTAAAATAATATTTTTATATATATCTTTGTATATTTCTTGTTTCATAGTTCCATAAAGCTGTTCTTTCAAAACAAGTTTTCATTTTGAACTAATCTTGCAATAAACTCTTTAACTGGAAATACATTTTTTTGATTATATGATCTCATAAATCTTATAAATAAAGCTTTTTAATAATTTCCAAAAGTTTGTTTAAAATATCAATTAATTCGCAATTTTGTTAGAAAAATGCCAAAAACTGTAGTTTGTCCACAAATTTTTAAATTGGTCAAGAAAAAATTTTTTTTTGTAAATTAATTTTAAAACATAAAGTAATCAATGTTTGTTCAAAACATAATATATAATATGTAGACTTAAGTATGTGTTGAAGTAATATACAATTATTATTACAGAATTTTTATTAGCCTGTCCACAAATTTATGCTACTATTCACACACAATTATATACATATATAAACACACACACACATACACAAACATATACACCTAGTAAAATATGTTGCAAGTAAAAAAAATTATATTTTAAATTTTATTTGCAGAGAGTTCCTTCTTAAATGAAATGCAAGCAGCTAGTTCAGCTGCAATGGCATTGACATCATCATCAATGTTTGGATATCAGAATGTTAACAAAGGAGGTTTGCGTGTGTAGCTACTCTTTATTTATAACTTTTTTTTTTTTTTTTTTTTTTTTCAGTTTTAGGTTTCTATATTTTTAAAAAGAAGACAAAAACGATGTTTAAAGAAAAAACTAAAAAAAACTTTTTTTAACTTTATTGTACTACACATTTTATATCATATAGATTAATATGATATTATAATATTATAAACATATAGATTAATATTATATTATAAACATATGGATCAATATCAACACCTAACTAGCCTCAATGACCCTTAAAATAAAAATTACAACAACCTAATAATCATTTTTAACAGTAGACAGTTTAGAAAGTAAACCAGCATCTCCAACCAAAAAGACATATTTTTCTCATAATAATTACCACATGTACCCATTATTTAGTATTTTAATGTCAGTAACAGCAAATGTTATTACCAACATACTTGATTTCCAGTAATACTGGATTGCTAATAATACTTAATATAAGTATTTACACCTATTGAATATTAAGTAAAGGACTATTGCAATTACAATCTAAAATTTTCACACAAAAATCATTTGGTTTATCATATATTATTCATTTGATTTTTAGATTAATTATTTAGCTGAAGTAAAGCAATTGAACTTTATATTCTGTACACTTTCTATTCAGTTTCTATTATATAAAATCTTATATGTATACATTTCTATATCATCCCAACTTTATTATGCTCAAAAAATTGAAAAATAATAATTTTCAACTTTTGGTCTTGATCAGGGATTATCTTTTTCAGATATTTAGGGAATTCCTGATATTTTTTTTAACTTTAAGTTTTTCCGAATATCTAAAACGTTTTCCATACATACAAGTTTAGGTATATATTTTTGTAACATTTGTTTTTTAAACTTTTTCACTTAACACTCGTAAAAAATTTAAGAGAAGTTTTTTAAAAAATTGGAAACAACTCAGCTAAAAGCAAAATTAAGAAGAAAATAAGGAAATTATATTCCAGATTTTTTACGGAGATTTTAAAATATGACCTGGATTTTTAAAATATGACTAAATGATCTATGCTTGATTTAAAAAAAATTTTAAATTTTACAACAAAATGGCAATTAGAATTATATGAAAGTTTAAAAGCAATTTAACCAAATTTTTTTTTGTTTATTTGTAAGATCAGTTTTCTTGTTTTACCTTCTAGTTTTAAAAGTGAATCATTTTGATTAAAAAAAAAAGTTAATTATAGTTAATAATAATCAAAAAAAAAAATCATAACAAATAATTTAAATTATTTATTTAAAATTACTAATTTTCAAGAATTAACTTTTTATTAATATTAACTACTTGTCAACTTATGTTATAGTTATAATTTACATATTGTCGGTATACAAGGGAAATGAACTAAGTCCATTTTTGGCAGTATGGAGTTATTTATACCACTATTTAGTATTTTAACTTCTCTATCGTTTGATATAACACAGAAATTTAATAAATCAATTATTATTGATTTATTAAGATTTTTTATTTAAGTTATTACATAAAAACTTATTATTTTAACTATTATGCAAAAACTTATTTGTTCATTATCTCAAAAATGATGTTTTTGGACTTTCCCTTTTATACAGGCGATATTTTATGCTATTTTAACTTCTTTATAAAGTTATAAATTAATTAAAAATTAAAAGGTGTCAAACAATCAAAGAGATTAATAACAAGTTTTGATGGGCGAATCGATGTGCAACTAATTCAATCACCCACTGATGTTGAAAAGTTTGATTTTGATGCAATGCAAATTACTCAGCTTGATATTGAAGATGGCCTACAACAAGATGTAATTACTGATTGTTGGAACTGTACCCCTCTGCATTTTGCTGTGATAGAAAAGCAAGAAGAGATTGTGAAATGTTTTATTAAGTATTCAGGTACTTAATAATTATTACTAAATAAAGAAGTTGTCTAAAATAGCATTTATTAACTGGTTTCTTTCTTGTTTTATTTTTTATTTTTTACACTCGACTTTTTACACACTTATTAGTGACTCGATTTTTTACACACTTATTAGTGGTTTTTATTTTTTTCAGAAAATGCCTCTTTGAGTGGTGGACGACTTCCAATTGTACCTGACTTTAACGTTTTGGACAGTGCAGGTCAAACTCCACTCTTGATTGCACTCTTGACTAAACAATACAAAATTGGGAAGTTGCTAGTTAATATGGATGTTGATCTAAATATTTGTGGAGAAGATCATCAAACACTTTTGCACAAAATGATAATGCACAGAAATGTTGAAGCATGTTTATTTTTGCTAGAAAATGGTGCAGATGTCAACAAACGGTAATGTTGTAAATAATACAAAATAATGACCCTAATATAATTGCTTATTTTATTTTATGAGGCTCGTGGTTAAATATACCCATTCTCATTCATTGTAAGAATAAATGAAAAAATGAAACAAAACTAAATAAACTATGTGTTTTTAAAACAAACTAAAATATTGTATTAAAATTATAATTTACTGTTTTAACTATATAACTATACTTTTATCAATTTGAGGATGTTCAAAACATAAAATCAATTTATCAGTTTTTATCAACTTTTTATATGTTCTAACTTTCTCACCATAAAAAATTGTTACATTTCAAAAAAATTTAATATCCTTTAAAATTTTAAATAGAAAAAAATTTAATATCCTTTAAAAAGTGCTTTTTCAAAATATCAATTTGTTGATGTTTTTAAATACATTTTTTCAATATTTAATTTTATTACAGTCGTTATTTAGTTTTTTCTTTTGAGCAGAACATGTTGAAAATTCTGTTGAAAATTCTGTTCAACAGAATGTTCAACAGCTCAAAAGTATGTAATGCTTAAAATAAAAATAGTTATGGCAATAGATTAATTAAAGCGAATTGTGTGATGAACTCAATAGTTTTTAGCAATAAGCATAAACTATTTTACATAATGCAAGGGTTATAATTTAAAATAGAAAAAACATTTTTTTATGGACAAACAATACATTTCTTGCAATACAAATTGAATGTTAACAACAGCCTCATTCTTTACCTCCTTTAAAATCATCTTTCACTACTGACTATAAAAATGTTTTGCTAAGGTCATCTCTTTCAATTGTGTTTTCTATTTTGGATTAATCTCCTAACCATCCTTGTATGGATTACTGTTAACATATGGCTGGTTTTGTTGATGATGACCCTTCTTTTTTAAATAAATTCAAAAAACATTTCATAAATCAAGTTGAGCTAGCTCTTGCTGCTAAACTCAAACCTCTATCATATTTTAAAGTTTCATATGTATATATTGTTATCCTTGCATATTTAGATCAAATTAAATTTGAAACTTAAAGTCGTGCAAAATTTAAATTTATAAGGTCATAACTTTTAAACCTTAGAATATTATTTAATAAAATTTGAAACATGTTGAAATAAAAAAATTATTTCTCATATTTAAGGTTGGGAGGGATCGACTCATATTTAAGGTTGGGAGGGATCGACTCATATTTAAGGTTGGGAGGGATCGACTCATATTTAAGATTGGGAGGGATCGACTCATATTTAAGGTTGGGAGGGATCGACTCATATTTAAGGTTGGGAGGGGACTGAGAGGGACTTTTTGAGGTGTTTTAGTTCTTAAGCTCCAATCGCCATAATTTTTTTTTCAAAATTCTTTGGTAAAAAAAGTTTAGAGATTGCATATTGCTTTAAAGTGTTGTATATGAAACATCAAAAAGTTCTATCTACACGACTGTATATTAACTTGTAAAGTTGGCTAAAATTTACTTTATATGAAAAGTAGGAAGACATTTTTCATAGTGATAAAATATGTCAGTCATTATCATAAAACTCAAATGATTACCGTCACAGTGTTACAAAGTAATTTAACTATACCAAATTACCTGTTTAGGTGTGTAGGTGTATTATCTTACCTGTGTATGTGTGCCAATTTACCTGTGTATGTGTACCAACTAAACTGTGTTTGTGTACCAACTTACTTTTGTTCAACTAACTTCCATTATTCTTTTTATGAAACACGCTACAATAAATTCACTCTGCTCAATAAATATAATTGACAATTAAGTCTAATTTATGAATAATAGGACAAAGTAGAAAGCCCAAATAAATATAGACTCAATAAATTATTTATATATAATTTAAAAGTTATATAAATTAAAAAAAAAGAAAAAAAAATTTTTTTAAAAATAAACACTTTTTATCATTTTTTATTTTACTATAAACAATTGGTTAGCGGTCAAAAAAAATTTTTAACTAAATTTTTTTTATTTTTTTTATTTTATTATTTTTAATTTTACTATAAACAATTAGTTAGAAATTAAAATAATTTATTTTGATGTTTTTATGTGTCATCATTTTTGGTGAAAAATTGTTTAACTTAGCACTTAATTTCATTTCATGAACATTTAATCTTATTGATTGAACATTTTTTTAACTGATCTTTTTTTTGTATAAAAGAAATTTTTGTTTAATCGATTGCCTATCTATAGAAGCAAAGAAAACATGTCACCATTGCAAATGGCAATTCATTTGAGGCTAACACCTGTTGTGGAAGCTTTATGCATAAGAGGTGCAGATGTAAATAGCAGTGATGAAGATGGAAATACAGCACTGTGGGTAGCATTAAAAAGTCACCAGTTAGATATTGCTTCATCCTTGGTAATTGTTATTTTTTATAATTTTGTATAAATGGCTGTTTTGTATTATATTATGTAGTGATTATAATTTTGTTAGCTGTTTGTATGTTTCTCAGGTTAAACATGGTGCTGATACTGACTTTTGGAGTACTGGTATTAATAATTGTGTTTGGACATTACTTCATCGAGCTATATTTGAGAGGGATGAAGAAACAGCATGCTTTTTAATTCGTAACAAGTGTGATTTACATAGGTACTTATTTTTTGCTATTACTATCAATTGTAAATCGTGTTAAATTGTTTGCTTTACATACATGAGTTTTAAATCTTTCATTTTTTCACTGTTTTTATTTTAACTTTTCAACTTTTTTACTTAAATCTGATGGGCATTTAAACTTTTTTTTATTTATATTTTAATTGCAGATTTTCATTTTCCAGTTTGCTAAACAATTAGTTATCCAAATTTGAAAAATTTTTTCACAAAATTTATTTTTATATATTTTAGTAATAAGAAATACTGTTCAGCTGCATTATTGTTATTATTTTTGACATAACAGAAAATATGATGTAATTTTATTTTTGTTGTATAAATAGTGTTATTGAGTTTGAAGTTGAATTTGAATTTATTAACAGTGTGTTATTAAATGGCATGATCTGCCATAATTGAATCTAGTAAATTTGATGGTGTATGCACCATTGGTATTTATAAGACTACTAAAATTTTGAGTTTATTTTAAGATGTTCTAGGGTCAAGGAGTTAATAAATAATAATACATTGAGGAAAAAAGTTACTTTTTAATTTCAAAAAAGTATTACTTGCTTTGTAGTCCACGAAGACCAGGCTTAGATGGTGGCAGTGCCAGTGAAGGTATTGATGGGCTCACACCATTGCATTTGGCTTGTGCATCATCTCAGGATAAAGTGGTTCAATGTTTAATAGAACATAATGCTGATATCAATATGCAGGTAATGATAGTTATCATTTTCATAATGTAATGTAAAAGGTAAAATGTAAAATTATATGAATAAATAAAAATTCTAAAACATCTCATGTGAAGTACTGAACTCAATCTGTTTTCTCTGCATAATGTTCTTGTTTAACAAGGTTTGTGTCTTGCAGTAGCCTTGTTTAACAAGGTTTATGTTTTTCAGCAGTCTTGTTTAACAAGGTTTGTGTTTTGCAGCTGCCTTGTTTAACAAGGTTTATGTTTCGCAATAGCCTTTTTGTATGCAGCCATACAAAAGAAGGTTATAAGTTTATGATGCAGAAAGCAGTTACATTTATACATAGATACATTTATATTTTACATGTGGGTAGTTAGAAGTTATTAGTTAGTAACTTAATTAATAACTAATTACAATACACTATTTGTTTCATAAACAAAAAAAATATATTTTTAAACTGTTCTTGCATGTTCAACATTTTTAATGAGTTTATCTTGTTATGACTAAAAAATAAAGCATATTTTGTTATGACTAAAAAATAAAGCATTTTATTTTGTTATAACAAAAAATGAAGCACATTTTTTTGTATCATTAAAAATTTTTTGTATCATTCAAAACTATAACAAATTTGTTTTGATTTTTTTACGTTTTTAAACCAAATTAATAAAATTACCTAATAAAACAACCTTTTGCAGCTTAAAAACAAATAACTTAATATAGGTTATTAATATAGGTTAGAGGCTTTATAGAAATTATAAACTAAAAGCAAATGTTTACAAACATAAAAATACATACAATATATAACAAAATATTTTTTTATATATAACAAAATTTTTAACAAAATTTAAATCTAAATACATACAAAACAACAAAATATAAACATGAAAAATATATCTTACAACAGCAGTTTCCAACCTGTGGGTCACAACCCCACAGGTTGTGATGGTTACCCCTCGTTTGATAATGCTACCCAGGCAGTAACCAACAAGCAGGTGCCTGGGTAGCCATTGATAACTTTGAGCAAAACTAAAAGTTTTAGGTTAAGTTGTATTTTATGTACGTAATCAAAAAAAGTAAAAATGCAACTAAGTTTTCATATAAATAAGTTATATATAAGCTGAATTTTTTCATAAATAAATAGTTACATCTATGCATCAATTGAAAAAAATGAACAATAAAATATAAAGCTACAATACTGTTGTTTCCACACTGTGAAACCGCAACCTGAGTTTAGCAAAATTTGTTATAATATGGTAGATAAGTAAAGAGTAGAAATGAATTGGAAATGAATTTTTGCAGCCATCAATGAAATACTTTATGGTTTGACTTAAAATTGTTCTTAACTCTGAAATTTAAATCATTTATGTACTTATTTTGATCAAACTTTTAATACACATTTTCCATTCTTGTTGTATGTGTTTCACATGTATTGTATATATTGTTGACACTTATTGTGTCTTTTAAAATCTGCTTTAGTGCCAAGTTCATAATGCACTCAGTTTTGTTTCAAATGGAAGATTAATGCATTGTAACATTTTATTAAAAGTTTTTAGATGTACAAATGAAAAAGGCTATTTAATAAACATAAGGTATACAATAATGAAAATATAAAATGATATTTTCATCACTAAACATTTATTATGAATTAAAACTGATAATTTTAAAGTATTTCTAATATTTTTAGTACTTTTTTTTTTCTCAAAATTTTCTTGTTTTTTTTTTTTATTTATTTATTTTTTTTTTTTTTTTTTGCTTTTACATTTAATAACTTTTTCTCTGTAGCCAATTCTTTCTTAATTTTTCTTTCAAAAAATTAAGAAAGAATTGGCTACTTAATTAAGAAAGAATTGGCTACAGAGCATTTACCCATGCTCAGTATATTGTTTTAATACAAGATGGATTATTGTGAATGTCATTAATAGGGAGTTCAACAATGTCTATGCTGATTGGCCAGGAATTTACCAGATCTTAATTGCATTGAGCATGTATGGGCAAGGCTTAAAAACGGCATTTTTAAAAATCCCAGACCCTAAAACTATCAACAACTCATTACAAGAGTTCAAAAAAAATGGGTTTCCATCACTCAAGAAAAATGCTACTCACTTATTGAAAGTTTTCGCTCTAGAATTTTGGAACATTCTGGTATAAATAATGGATTAACTCACTGATCAGTAACATTGTCCTAAAGATTTTGTGAAATAATGAATAAAAAATATTAACTAACAACTGAGTTACAGTCATTTATAAAAGGATACTAGGGGGGTCAGAAATTAAATGTACAACCTGTTCAAGTTTTGGTCTTATATTTTTGTTTTGCCGTTGTAAAAGAATCTAAGTAAAATGCTATTTTTATGGTAAAAAAGAATTATTCATTGGACATATGATATGTGTGGAATAATATTTTAGTTCATACTTATTGTTAATTTAAAAATACTACATTTTTTCTATAATAATATGTGGTTTTAATGATATCATTAATAGTTCATGTTTTATTTACCTGATTAAGTTTGATTTAGAAATAAATTTTTATGTTATCGTTTTAAATTCTCTTGTTTTATTTGAAATGCTTAGCTGCTACTAAAAAAGTATTTTCATATGCTAATGTAATAAACCCACTGAGTTCGTAAAAGTAACTATATATTGTGGTTTCTACATATTCAAATAGAGGTGCATGACAATGTTGTTCATACACAAAATATAAATACAAAAAAATGAATAGCTACTTGACTAAAAATTTGTTAGTACTTGAAACCAACATTAAGTGTCATCTCATTGTAGGTGTGGAAACAATAATATTTTATATATTAGATTTTTAAGTTTCTTTTTAGATTTTTAAGTTTCTTTTCTTTTTTTTTTAAATAAAAGTTTTAACAGCATACACTTTGTGTTCTAAAAATAGATTTTTTTAAGTAGCATAAGGTAATATATGATTGATATTTGGACAAACATTGCACAGAAACAATAGAATTTTTTTAAAAAATCATGTGATCCTGGGATTGATATTTGGACAAATGAACAATTTACCGAAACCAAAATGGTATGCTGTTATGCAAGCTCTTTTGTTTAATAATGTTTACGAAACAAATAAACTTTTTAATTACTTTTTGATGGGCAATGTAAAAGTTTTTTTATTTTTTTATTTTGATTATAAACATAAAATGCAACTCAATCAAGTTTTGTTATAAATTTTTATGTAGATAAAATTTGAGTAGCTGTGATAATAAATCAGCAAGAGACATTTAAAACATATCTAAAAGAATTTTTAAGTTAAAGTAATAAAGTTACTTTCAGAAGACAAATAATTTATTATTAATAAAATATAATAAAAGCTTAATTAAATAAAACTTTTATTATTTTACTGATATTTTAAATATTTCTGTCATTTAGATAAACTGTCATGTAGATAGATTGTCATTTAGATAGACTGTAATTTAGATAAACTACATTAACATAAAAAACTTGATTGTTGAAGAAAAAAAGGAATTAGTATTTTCATTAAAATTTCTTTTCTACTTTAATTTTTATTATTTATAACTTTTTTGTTTTGGTTCTCATAATATTCATGGTTAACGACTTTTTTTATTAGTTTATTTTGAAATTATTTGGAGCAGTGATAAATAACAAAGCGCAATAAGGTTTCTACAAGAGGGGAATATCTCTATGAAGTCTAAAGTTTTTTCTGGCCATACAGGTATTAATAACACTATCCATCGCATTCAAAATAGATTTTTGTGGTCTGCAATGAAAGAAAATATTAAAACCTTTGTTTACCAATGTGACCAAAGTCAAAATTCAAATGTCAAAAATAGGAAACTTCAGTCAAAACTATTGCAAAATACTTTAACTCAAAAAAGTAAAGTAATATAGACTAAAATGGACTACTGATAAAACTGCTAGACCTGCGGCCTTATTATTTGTGCATGCAGATATGTTGGTAAGGTTATTTTGAATTTCAAACTTATTTGTTTGAAATTCAAAATAACCAAAGATTGTGAGTTTGTATCTAAAATTTCTAAAGAACTTATCATTCTTAAACTAATGCATTAGCTAAGGGACAGCAATTAAATTTATATTATTATAGCTGAATGAGGCTGGTCTTGAATGACCATATATTGTTGATCGCATTTTGTTTTCATTGAGAGTTAAAAAACAAGTCTACTGTATTTATGGTGGGGGGGGGGTTCATTTTCATTGCTTTACTAAAGGAAAACAGTTCTTTCCATTGATTTAGATTGCAATTTAGTTGCTTTTCATGATAATAATGCTTTGCAGCAATGATGGTTCTTACACCCAAAAAAATAGGTTTAAAAGTTAACATTTGAGGAACATCCAATAAATAAAATGAAGAATGAACTTTTAGATAAAGGTTATCCAAACACAAAATAATATCAAATAAATGCAAAAGTGTGATTATGAATGGAGAATTGTTCCAATTGTTTTAATTGTTATAAAATTAATATAAATTATAAGTGTTGCTATAAAATTAATTGTTTAGTAATTGTTTTTTTAGGGCATCTTATACCATTTTAAGCAGTGAATATCTTAGAATGCAAGTTGATGTAAAATGATTTCATATATGAACCAATCAATCATAACATATCTTAATGAAAGTTGTATGTTTGATAACGCAACATGGGCAATTGATGCAGAAAATGTTAGATGTGTCTTGTTCATGGGTATTGACATGAACACCTTTGGCATAAGTCAAAAAAGGTTACTTACCTAAGATATTATAACCTTTGTTTCCTAATGTGACCAATGTGGTTGTGTGCTTATCATTTTTAAACTAATAAGTTAGTAGAGGGATCGAACAATTAAATATAAATTGTTAAAGGTGCTGAATGAGGCTGATCTGGAATGACCATATATTATTGATAGAGTTTTGTTTTCATTGAAAGTTAGAAAACATAAGTCTACTGCTTTTAGGGATTTTGCCGTACTCATTGCTTTACCAAAAGGAAGCAGACCTTCCTATTGATTTAGATTAAAGTTTAATTGCTTTTAATAATAGTGACACTCTACAGCAATGATGATTCTTACACCTAAAGAACAAAGGTTTAGAAGAGTTAAATGCAATAAATAAAATAGAAAATGAACTATTAGATAAAGCTTATCAAAACATAGAAAAATATATTTAAAAAAAATGCAAAAGTGTGATTATGAATAATGAATTTCTCCAAATCATAAAATAAGCGTAAATCAAAAGTGTTTCTAGAAATTATTTGCTTAGTTATTGTTTATTAGGGCAATATCTTATACCATTTCAGGCAGTAAAAGTGGTTATGAAACTATGAAAGAAAAAGTTTACTATGTCATAGAATGCAAGTTAATGATAAAATGATTTCATATATATGCCAATCAGTTATAACACAACATGTTTAAACATCTGATGCAGAATTTATTGAATGTGCCTCACTCATGGGTTTGAAATAAGCAGCCGTGGCATAAATCAAAACTTGACCCACTCTGGTTTTTCTAAATAAATAAAAAAATCATGTATTTTGCTGTTTGGCTAGTTGTAACAACTAAAAATATATAATTTTTATTAAACTCATTACAGACTGTGGCTAAGGATTTTGTTTACTGGTGTTAGATGACTTTTACTTGCTATATTTTAACAATTAATATATAATTTTTTTATTTTTTATTTTCTGTGTATGTGCAAATTGTTACATAATGATTAGCAGCTCAGGAACAGTTGTGTATCTAGAAATTATGCACATTGTAAACACAAAGTTTTAGTATTTAAGAGTTTTGTAAAACTTAAAAATGGCTTCTTGATAGAGACTTGGATTGTTTATGTATAGAATAATATATATCTTTTAATACCTTTTTATGTAGTTATAATATGCATTAGTAGTTAGAAGTAATATATTCTATTTAATATGTATATAGTAGTTAGAAGTAATATAATCTATTTAATATGTATATAAATTTATCTGTAATATTATATGACGTAGCAACCCTTGGAGTTAGGGTCGGCATTCAGCAATGCCGACCTAACTGCCAACCTGTAAGTGTTTGAGAAAAGTCCAATTAAAGATTTTTGGTCTGAACTTAAGAGATTAATGTATAATAAAAACTGGCAAGCTAAAAATCTAGGTAAACCTAAAAAGCAGATCAAGTTTTCAATGAAGAAAATCAACATAAAATGTGTATGTTGACTAGCTGCCGCAACATTTACAAGAGTAGACACCGTTCGTCGTCATGACATGAAAAACTTATAATTTTTTTAAATTTTATGCTACTACGTGTAACTTTCTAGTAGCATGGGTATATTCCACAATTACAATGTAGGGTAGTTTAACATACAAAGGGTGAATGCACTTCATCAGAATGCAGGTGTGACCTCTATTGGGGGGGGGGTGAAATTTGCTAAAATAACTGAAATTTATGCGTAATAAACATCCCTTTAAAAATCTATAAATTTTCTATAATCTAATCCTAATAATATTTGTATCATCATTTGTATCCAATATGCATAAACATCAGTAGATCATTTTTTTAGTATGAAAAAATCAATTTCTTTATGATTATTTTGTGAATTATTTTGCTAAGTTCTTTTTTAAGTTTGGCTAATACTTTTTTGAGTTTAATGAATTTTTTTTTATATAATTTAATATTGTTTATGTATTTGATTTAAGGATGCTGATGGTCGAGCACCAATACATATCGCAATAGCTGCTAAGAATCCAATTATAACTCGTATACTTCTTAGTCATCCAGACATGAACTTTTACATTAAAGATACTCAGGGGCAGACACCTTTTATCGTTGCAATGAACTGCAGAGATAATGATGCTTCTACGGCTATTTTAGCTAGAGAACCATATGCAGCTGAACAGGTAAAGTTTAAAATATTTGAAACATTTTTGATTTTAAATATTGTAGATTTTATTATTATTCTATAAAATGTTATGTCATTTTGATTATAAAACTGTTCTATGAACAAAATTTTTGTGTTTTGTTTTTTAATTTATCTTTTGATTGCAACCCTTGGAAGTAGGGTCGGCATTTGGCATTGCCAACCTAATTGCCGACCTGAAAGTGTTTGAGGTAGACAAAAAATTGCTTACCTCGTTTCTATGTTTTATGGTAAGACCTTTGTATCAAATAAATTTTGCTGACCTGATACTGACCTTTAAAAGATTGAGGTCTGCAATTTATTGCTGACCTCATTTTTCCTAATTCTGAGGGTTGTGATTGGAAGTATGATCTTTGCTCTCTTGCGCTGATATTTTTATTTAACATAAAGTGCTTTTGAATTTAAATTACTTTAAATTTCTTTGTGGAAGCCAGTGATGTTTTAAAGTTATAAATTGATTTACTGAAAGTATAAAGTTCACCGCAGTAAATTTACCTTTGAACTAAATCAAAACAACCAGTTAAGTTACTACTGTAACTTACAGTTACTCACCTATTAAATTTACTTTATATACTCAAAGACTTGCAAAAGTTAGCAATACAAATGTTTCTATTTCTATCTTACTTGTTGTTAACACACAATAAAAACTTCTAGCTAAAAATTATTTTAACAAGAAATCTTAAATAGAATATAAAAAATGTGATACCATTTTTTATATTTACATTTTATTCAAAGTGATATCAAGATCAAACATTTTCAATTAATATGCAAATTGTCTTTAGAAAATTTTTTTAAAAGGAAATCTATTTGAACAAAAAAATTTTAGTCTTCTAAAATTCTCTTATTAATAATTTTGCGATTAAAATTTGAAATTAAAAAAAAAAAATAGAAAAATTTAAAAGAATTTTAACACTCAATAACTATAAATATAATTTCATCATCGCCCTTAATATCTAGTGGCATAGCAAGGTTCCTCTTGTACAAATCTTTTTTTCTGAAATTTAAACGTATATCTAACTACAGTAACAATATTAGATTTAGAACAAAGTGCAAGCGAGAATGGAAGTTTTATTTAAATTGTAAACATTTTGAATAGTTTATTATTTTTTGTTTCTTGAAAATAGTTAAAGTAGAAACATTCTATTGCAAACATTAAACCAAAAATTAAATTATAAAAAATTCAAATTAAAAAATAAATTATGTAACTTCTGTAATAAATATGCTTAACCCTTTAGTGCCGAAGGCGCACATATGTGCGCCTTGGATATACCAATCAAAACACCTCTCTAAAAGTTATAGTTCAAGACTGTTTAGTCTAAAATAATAATCTTTTGTGCTTCTACACATATAAATTGAGCTTAGGAGATTTGGAATTTTTAATTCACGGATAGTTTTTATGTTCAAAACACTGAAGATAATTGACAAAATATGTAGTTGTTAGAAGGTTTCAGCGCAGATGGCTTTAAGAAATAGGATTATTAATGATCCAAATGAAGTTCTTCAAATCCTTGATGAAATGGACGATGTTAGTGAATTTGTCTTCTGAATCTGCAGAGTCTGAATTCATCATCATGTCAGTCAAGACATGATGATGCCAAGTCAGTCATCATCATCAGAAATAATTTTATCTTCATCATCTGAAGAATATGTTAGTTCCGAAGATGATTTAACAGAAAATATAGATGTCGACTTTTCTATTAATAATTCAGTAACTAATGATAATAAAGGACTCTTTACAATAGCATTTGCTGATAGCAATCATACTGTAAATAATAAAAAAAAAAATCCATAAACAACCAACTAGTAAACGACTTCATACCATTAAGACCAAGAAGCCTACTATTAGTAAAGATAATAGAGAATGGAAAAAAATTAAAATTATTAGAACTATTACTCCATTTATGGCAACACTAGGACCAACATTTAGAAGATTTGCAATACCTAATTGCGATGGAAATATCAAACCAATCCATCTCTTTGAATTGTTCTTTGATAATGCTTTGATACAAAAACTTGTCACTGGAACAACCACTCAAGAAGGTTACAATCTTCTCCTATAAAGCATAGAATGGTATGGGTTGATGCTACGTCAAATGATATCAAAGTATTTATTGCAATTTGTTTAGCCATGGGAATAATAAAACTTCCACGCATCCATGATTACTAGAGACAAAAACTTTGGTTTTTTGCTATTCCATCTTTTAGTAATGTCTCGTGATCAATTTAGACAAATTCACCGTTTCACAAATTCAATTTTGCAACGAAACAGCAGCAATACCAAGGGATACGACAAACTCTTCAAGGTACGTATGTTGCTAGATGACCTTTGTCCTAAGTTTAGAAATCTTTATAAACCAAAAAGAGACATTTGCATTGATGAGAGTATGATACCTTTTAAGGAAAGAATCTTTTTCCAACAATTTATTCCAAGCAAACGTACGAGATTTGGAATAAAAGCTTGGGTAATGGCAGAGTCATCTACCGGGTACATATCAGAGTTCTTGATTTACACTGGAAAAGATATTGATGGACTAAAGCACCATGATCTTGCAGGAACTGTTGTCTGTCAACTAACCCAACATGTTTTAAAACAAGGATACCATCTGTATTTATATAACTATTACACTAAAGTTGGTTTGCTTGAGTATCTTTACAAAAATAAGGTTTATACAACAGGTACTGCACGAGTTGGTCGCAGCTAATTTTGGCGCAGGTCTGGATTGACAGCAAGCCTGTTCATATACTTTCAACAATTCACTATCCAAATTATGATGACAAAGTTGCAAACAGTACAATATATGTGAAGCAAAAAGGAAAAAAAGGGGCAGTTGGTAGAATAAATGTTCCATGCCCCCCTGCAATTGAAGATAACAATGCCAACATGGGTGGTGTAGATTCAGAAGACCAAATCATAAAGTATTATAATTGTGGAAGAAAATCAAGTAAATGGTATAGGCGAATCTTTTACCACCTATTAGAAATATGTGTTCATAATGCATTTGTATTTGAGTCTTGGTTTATTGACCATCGTGCTCGCAGTCATCAAAGTTTTCGTGAGGAACTTATTGAACAATTAATAGGAAATATTAGATCTAAGAATAGTGGAAGACCTAGTAATTCAAATGAACCAATTACACTACGACATACAAATGTTGGAGTTCATAAACCTTTGGTGAACGATAAGCCAAGAGATTGCAAAAATTGTTCTGAAAATATTTGAAAAACTACTTTAGTTGGTCAGTCCCAGCGCCATTCAAAAGGTATTCGTAGATCACATGTTTTTTGTTCATTTTGCTTGTCCATTTATGCCTTGATTTAGTCTCTAATTGTTGGAATATGTGGCATTCATAGTTTTATTTAAAATAAAATTATGTATCTATACATTCACTTGTGTTGACAAAATATAATAAATAAAATAGCTGAAAAATCTTGTATTTGCTTTACACAAAGGATGGGTTTTTTATTTTCTGCTTATCTAAATAAGGAAAGTATCCCATCAAATTAGTTACTTTTCCTTATAGGTATTTTTAATATTTTTATTGAATAACAAAATTAAGCAAAAAATAAATAAATAAATTTGACGTCATCAGAGAAAAATGTTAATTATTTAATATCTAGTTATCTAAATTAGAAAAGTGACCCATCAAATGAAAACTGAATAAATTTTGCACTGTTTTACAGCCTTTATTTACTTTTAAAACAATATAGCTGGCTATTTGAAAGGCTTAATTAGCAACTATTTAAAATTCGCAAAGCTTTTTTATCAATATGAAATAATGTAGGCGTCATAGGTTTAATTTTTTTACTGTCTTATTTTTATTTTTGGATTCTAAATTTTGCCTGCTTTCCAAGGATATATACTTTGTTTAACTTATTTTATAAGGAAACCCATGTATTTAAGTGTTTACATGACATAGTATTGCGCTTTTTAAATGAATCCTGGCACGAAAAAGTTAAAATATTTTATTTAGAAAAATAAATTATTTTCTAAAAAAATATTTTAAGCATATACTTAAACTTAGGGAAATATTTATTAAACCAAATTTTTTTTCTTTTTTTTTATTAAACAACTTTTTTTGATTTATTAAACTAAATTTTTTTCACTTTTTATTGAATAACAATTTGAATGAAAAAATTGAACAAAAACATCAACTTGAAATACGTTTGAATGAAAAAATTAATTATACTGAAATTTTTAATAGTACACTAGATCAAGAAGCAATAAATTATAAAAAACGTGGTATCTAATGTTTTTTTTTCTTTATTTGATCTATAGATTATAGACTCGTATAGTCTATAGGTATGTTTTTGTGCAAATAAGAATTTTAAAGTTTTATAACGATATTATAGTATTTGCAATTTAGTTTATTTGTTTAATTTAATTATTGTAATTTAGTAGTATTATAATTAGAACAATTCTATTTATTTGCTTTGTTTTATTTTAATCGAAAAGTTGTTTTACATTATTGTAAGCTCTATATTGTTAAAACTTTTCAGTTTGTGTTATTGGTGTTTTAAAACTTTTTATGTGTTTTATCATCAGCGAAAACGTATTAAATAGTTTTCTATAACAAAATAAAGTGGTTTAAATAATATTTGCGTTTTTGCTTTTACTTTTTTACTTTTACTTTTTCAAGTATCATTAAGTAAAAACAATTATTAAAAGTAATATTGTAATAGTATCTAATGTGTTTCTTGCTCATTACATTATAACTTGCTTTATAAAACTGTTCTATTTTGTTTAAAATTCATTTGTTCAGCACATGTTCATAAAAACATTCAGATGGAATAAGAAAAGTTTTACATTCAGCTTTAACACATGTTCAAAATAATTATACATGATAAATACGTTTAGAAAAATATTTTACATTCTATGCCAATTTATCTAAATCTTTATAAAGTTCAAGTATGTTATATTAAATGCATAAAATGTATAACATTTTTCTGGTTAATCCTCAAATCGTAGAGTTTAATATTTATAAAGAACTGCAAGATAAAAGCATTAAAGCTCTTGAAAACTTAGATTTGATTGGTGCAAGGTTGCAAAAACATTGTTATGAAAAATCATTCTTGATGCTGTTTCAGTTGAAAGCGCAGATAAAATAAAAAGAGAAAAAAATATAACAGTTTTTGGTGATGATGAATCAAAAGAAACAGATGTTAAGAAAAAAGACGACAATAGAAAAGCGTTTAACAAAATTTTTTCGATGTACTTTAACTAGACAATGGAAAAATCTCTTGTCATCATGGTTTTAATTCTAAAAATATTAAACCAGGAATAATAATTGTAGTAGTGACGAATAAACAATCAGGGCACAAAGTAATTATAGATATTTTTTTTTCTCCAATTTTTAAAAAAGGAGCAACATCAGACCCTAATAATTATAGAACAATTTCACTCACATGCACTTGTCGTGCAATGAAAAGAATTATTAACTTTAATATTATTAAGTGCTTATCTCAACATAATTTAATAGCCAATAATTAACATGGTTCCCTCAAGAAACTTTCTACTTGTACAAATCTTTTAGAAGTGGTAAATGATTTGTGTATTGCACTAGACAAACATTTAACAACAGATGTTGTTTATATTGACTTTCAAATGCCATTTGGTTCCTAATATCATCCTACATAATTAGCCAAACTTGCCCTGTTTAACAAAAGAGGTAATTTATTAAATTGGGTTGCTGCATTTCTCACCAATAGGTGTCAACAAGTTAAGTTCCTTATTAAACTTAACTCTCATCATTAGTGGAGTTCTTCAAGTAAGCGTGTCCAACATTCTTACTATATATCAACAATTTAACCGCTACAGTTAACAACCTTATTTGTTTTTTAAAGCTATATGTTAGTGACATCGAGTTATATAGTTCATTTTGCAATACTGATCATAACTGCAACTTAGTTAATGCTCTTGATAATGTTCTACTTTGGTCAAAAATATGGCAACTGCCTACAGTTGACTCTTGATATCTCGAACTCTCAGGGGACAGAAAATTTTGAGAAAAAGTTTGAGATATCAAGAGTTTGAGATATCGAGAGGATTGTGGCTTAAACAGGTTCTTAGCTTAACTATAATAACATATTTCAAACGTTATCCATGCAACTAATACCAGAGCATACTTTATTTTAAGATGCTTTAAATCTCGCGATCCTAGTTTCTTAGTAAGAGCCTTCACTACATATATTTAGCCTATATTGAAACAATATAGGCTTAGTATTCACAAAAAAATCATGTACTTAATCAATTTAACCTAATATAGCCTAATATAGTTTTCAGTTGCTTGATTTGGAGTAGCTTGATATAAGGCTATCATAACATGGTTTATCTGCTTGCTTTAAAATTATTCATAACTTGCTCTTAATTGATAAATTTATGTTCTTTTTTATTCACAACAATAACAACACGCAAGGACATAAATATAAAATGTGCAAACAACAATGTGGACTAGATTGCTTGACATTGGTATCACTACAGCTTCTGTATCTAAAGTGATTTCCTGCTTAGATTCTTCTAGAGCTTGTGGCCCGGACAACATACCTGTTATAGTCTCGCAGAAGTGTTCTCCGGAGCTGTCGTCTATCTTTTCAAAACTGTTCAACAAGTGCTTATCAGAGTCTTGTTTTCCAGCCTGCTGGAAAGCAGCATCTGCTATCCCTATTTTTAAAAATTCTGGAGAGCAATCTGATTCATCTAACTACCGTCCCATTAGTCTTCTTCCTATCATAAGCAAGGTTTTTTGAATCTTTAATTAACAAACACTTAATCTCTCATCTTGAATCTGATAACTTACTTTCTGATCATCAATATGGATTTCGATCTTCTTGTTCTACGACTGATTTGCTAACAGTAATAATTTATAGGTTTTATCGTGCATTAGATAAAGGTGGAGAGGTTAAGGCCATCGCTCTAAAACATTTCTAAAACATTTGATAAAGTTTGGTATCCTGGTCTTCTCCATAAGCTTTCTTCTTACAGTGTATCTGGAAACATCTTTAAGACTATTGAATCCTTCCTTTCCAATCGTAGTATAAAAGTTTTCCTTGATGGACAGCACTCTTCTTTTTATTCTGTAACCTTAGGGGTTTCTCAAGGTTCAATCCTTGCCCCTATACTCTTTTTAATTTACATTAACAATCTTCCAGATATTCTCACATCTAAGGTGACATTGTTCGCTGATGATACTACCGTTTATACTTGTCATGATAAGAAGCTAACTCTCCCTGATTTCATGGAGGGGGCATTTGAGCTTGAAAGGATCTCACTTCTGCTACAACATGGGGCTCTCAGTGGCTGGTGAACTTTAATTCAGATAAAACTCAATTTTTATCAGCCAATCGTTATCGCAATAATTTAGATCTTCCTATATTTATGAACCGTAATGTACTTGATGAATGAACTACCCTTCATCTTCTAGGATTAACTTTTACTTCTTATCTTTCTTGGAAACCATATATTAAATCTGTTGTAAAATTAGCATCTGCTAAAGTTGCATCTCTTTATCAAGTTCGACACTTGCTTTCTCTGGATTCTATTCTCTATCTCTATAAATCTCAAATCTAACCTTGTATGGAATACTGTTGCCATATCTGGGGCGGATCTTCTAATGATGCCCTTTCTCTTTTAGACAAGGTGCAAAAACGCATTGTAAACATAGTTGGACCTGCTTATGCAGCCAACTTTCAACCATTATCACATCGCCGTAATGTTGCTTCTCTTTCTCTTTTCTACAAACACTATAATGAGCACTGCTCTAAAGAACTAGCGTCTCTTGTGCCATCTACTAAAATTCACTCTTGTGTTACTCGTCATTCAATTAAGTCTCATTCTTTTTCTGTTACTGTTCCTAAGTGCTCCAAAAACTCTTATTTGTCTAGTTTTTTTCCTCGAACATTAGTTCTTTGGAATTCGCTTCACTTCATCTTGCTTTCCTGATTCATATAATTTGCAATCTTTCAAGTCGTCTGTCAATTGTTATCTTGCTCTACAATCTTCATCTTTTCTCTTCCAGTAACTTCTAACACTAATTAGTGGTTGCTTGCAGCCTTGTTGGGAGCAAAGATGTTTAAAAAACATCTTTGTTAAACATCATTGTTAATGCAGATAATATCAACATCTTTTTAAGTAAAATTAACTCACTCATTTTTGAAAAGTTGGCGTTGACTGCATTTATCATTGTTTAATTTTTATATAAATTTTTTATTTGAAGTTCTATGCTGTTACATAATTTTGGGTCACGCTGTTTGTGTCCTACAATATAGACCTGCGTGTTTTTTAGAACATGTGTTATTCGTTCTAGTAAATACAATCTAATCTAATAATATTTTTATTTAAGCATATTTTTTTTTATCTTTTTGTGTTATTAATTTAATTTTTTATTAATCTTTTAGTTTGACAACAAGGGTCGCAACTATCTTCACAAAGCAATTATGAATAAAGATGTAGATGTTATTCTCTTTTTAATAAGTATTGAAGTCAATGTTAATTCTGTAATAATGGATGGGTCACAGAGAACACCTCTACATTTAGCTGTTCCAACTGGAAATGAAATTGTTGTTAGACATCTGGTAGCAATTTTTTTCGGCATCTTTTAAAAAACCTTTTTTAAACCTGTTTTACATGCAAAAAAATTTTTTCAGATTCTTGCAGGAGCTGATGTCAATGCTGTTGATAAAAATCGTCAAACACCATTACATTGTGCTGCTATTGAAGATAAGCCTTCAATTATATCGGTTCTATTGCAGAATGGTTCTAATCCAGACCTTGTCGATATTAGTTTAAACAATGGTAAATTACGCTTAATTTGTAATGTTAATGTAATTTCTTCTCAATTTTTTTTATTTTTATATTTTTAATACTTTTTAGCTGTTATAATAAAATTTTAAATAAGTTTTGTTTCTCAGCCCTGCATTTAGCATGTCAGCATGGAAATTTAGCATCAGTTCGAACATTATTAACAGAATCAAGTATTAATGCAGAAGTTTACAATATTCGGTATGAAGTAAATCAAGACCAACTGACAAATTTATTTTTATACAAAATTAAATTTATATATATATATATATATATATATATATATATATATATATATATATATATATATATATATATATATATATATATATATATATATATATATATATATATATATATATATATATATATATATATATATATAATTGCTATATGTTAAAGATAATTGCTACATTTTATATAGCAATTATCATTAAAAAAATGTTTAATGTTACAGGTCACAAAACTCTCTTCATGTTTTGGCAGCTCATAGTAGTGATAATGCTGCAGCCATTTTTGATTTATTTCGTCAGACAATGCCAAACTATCCTTTTGATGCCTTAGATGGAGAAGAAAACACTGGTATGGGTATATGTAATTATTTGCTTTATTAGTTAGATTATCTGTTGATAGAGAATAAATTTACTTGAGAGTCTCTATGTTAAAAAGAGTTTGCCAAGTTTGTCTGTGTATGCATATATTATATATATATATATATATATATATATATATATATATATATATATATATATATATATATATATATATATATAAACAATTTTTCTGTTTTACATTTAAAAAACTTTTTTTTATGTATAGCTTTATTTATTGCTTATTCAAATGGTGCAGTTGGTTTGTGTTGTGCTTTGTTAAAAGCAGGGGCAAGATTAGCCACAATGAATAAACATGGTGTTTCTGTGTTTAATGCTCCTGTTGCTACTAAAAAGTTGCTTTTTAAACTGTTAGGTATACAATTTATTTAATATATCAATATATACATATGCACATATATATATATATATATATATATATATATATATATATATATATATATATATATATATATATATATATATATATATCAGTGGCGGAACTTCAAAATTTGGGCCCCCCCCTCCCCCCTCCCCCCCGCAAAAGAATGGTTTTTTATGATCGATATATTATATTATATTATTATATCCCAAAATTCTTCCATTGAAAAAATATTTAATGCATCAAAAACAGAATACGAAGAAGCACTTAAACAAAACGGTTTTAAAAACTTAAAGTATAACCCAAAAAATAAGATACTTCCCAAAAGAAAAAGGAATAATTTGGTTTAACCCACCCTACAATAAAAGTATCTCCACCAATGATGGCCAAATCTTTTTGCAATTAATAGATAAACATTTACCACCTTCAAACCCATTGCATAAACTATTCAATCAAAACACTACAAAAAGTTGCTACAGCTGCTAAAACAACATTTCAAAAATTATAAAAAGCCACAACAAAAAAATAAATTTAATTAACACCACTGAAAATCTCCCTTGCAATTGCAAACAAAAAGAAATCTGCCTGCTGAATAAAAATTGTAGAGCGACAAACATCATTTGCAAATGTATAACATCTTCCCCAAACACACCCAGCAAAGCATACATTGGTTTATCAGAAGGAGTGTGGAAAAAGAGGTATGCAAATCACAAGCAATTATTTGCAAATAAGAAACTTTCAAATGCAACCACTCTCTCAAAACATATATAAGAAACTAGGGAAAAACTGAAAGAAATATCAGAATTTACTTGGGCTATCCTAAGAAAAACCCCCACTTACAACAATACAACAAAAAAATGTTTACCTTGTTTATATCAACTCGTATCTCCGCGGCCTTGTTCGTCAAGGTTCGTGTTTCGGAGTTATAGAGTTGAGAGAGGGTTATATAAACACAAATAAGTAGCCTCTTCTTCTGCAGTGGCCTTCTCGGCCTTGAGGAGGTGAACTAACAAAAAATAAAAAATAAAAATGAAAAACTGATCATTTTATTTTTATAAAAATGCTGAAGAGCTACTTAATAACAAAACAGAGTTAATTTACAAGTGTTGTCACGAAAATAAATTTTTATTAGGCAATCACAAACCTGAAGATTAGATACACGCAGTCGTAACAATAAAAAAAGTTTTTTCCGTGTAGGTTTTGTTAACTCTGCATAGTTTCAATTGTATATAATTTTTTAAACAAACTATATTTGTATTTCACCTGATGATTATAACAGAATGAAACTTAAAGTTGTGAAAATCACACCGTTTTATTTTCTACTATATATATTATAGCTCTGACTTAGTTCATCGAGCACTTTCTTGATAGTATATGCACGAAATAGCATCACTACATATATATATATATATATATATATATATATATATATATATATTACAAAACTAAATAATCTCAAATATATCACTGTTAATCACAAATTCAATATAATGTCTAAATAAAATTGTAAATAAAACTTGACTTATTACTAATAAGTCAAGTTTTATTTACAATTTTATTTAGATATTATTGATACTATTGAATTTTTAAAAGTTCATACTATTTAGTGTTACGTTTTTATAGTATATAAAAGAAACACTAAACAATATGAATTATATTTACTAATAAGTTATTAGTAAATTATGTTTTATTGATTTACAATGCTATAAAATCCTTTTCTTATGAATTGAATTTTCTATGATTCATATTGTTTAGTGTTGCTCTTATATACTATAAAAACGTAACACTAATAGTATGAACTTTAAAAAATTCAATACATAGAAAAGATATTTAAATCATATAAACCCTATATAATATAGGAAACTAATTTTCAGAAGTACCTATCTTTAATAAATATCTATATCTATTTATAACAGCATCCTTAAAAATAATCAGCACCTAAATTACGAAAAAATTTTTGTGAATGCGCTTCTTTAAAAACATACAGCACTTTAGTTTAGTATCAGCACTTTAGTTAGTTCCAGTAAAACAAATATAAATATTTTAAAATCTCTAACTTGGAGTTAAAAACGTGTACAACTTCTCTTTGTTAAAAAGAACTATGGCGCTCTGTAAATTAGAGGCTATACTAATTTAAACTAAAATATACGGGTAAAGTCCGTAATTTAAAGTTACGAAACTTCTCCGTATCATAAATACGGTCAAAATCCCATAAAAAGATGTTATTATTTAAAATTCTTAAAAGTATAGGTAATTTATTGAAAACGGGTTTTTTCCGTAACAAAACAACGGATAAAGTCTGATAAATACTACGGAGTTTTTTTACAGTGTCTTTTAGGTCAAACAATGTGTTATTCAAGAATTAAAAACGATATTTCTTGAATGAGGAGTTCCGATTGAAATTCTGATGGACAATCAATAGCATTCTGAAGAAAAATTCAAATTATGAGTAAATGGAACATTAAATTTTGCTTCAGGTGTGACTACATACCATCAGGAAAATGGTATTTGAGAATGAGATCATTGAACTGTCAAAAAAAAAGTGCATAAGTTCCATGCACCATACTTGAGGCAGTTTATAGACACAGTGTCAGTCTAAAAAATAGTTGTAATTCTGCTACTGCACCTGCAAACAAATTATACCAATATGAAATGAGAGTGAGAGGAATTGACAATGATAAGGATGTGTATGATTGTTATAAGAAGGTAACTAACAAATTCAAACTTGGAGAGAAGTAAAGTCTCTGGATACCAGATGCAATTCTCAATACAAAGTTGTAACAATTACAGGGATTATCTTGAAATGGTTGAAGGAGACAACATATGCTGGCACATACACAACCTAAGACGTGTAAAGATTAATGGCAATTTAGAAGAAGGTTCAAAAGATGGTAGCAAACCTAACATACGTCATGCTGCCAAAAGACGACATAAACAAGACGCCAATTTTGAAAAGGAGTGCGCAAGAAATAAAGTCACCTGAATGTAAAAGTCTGTAAGGTGGAGTGGTCCTGATGGCCAAGTGAGAGTGGTAATAAACAAAGTTAAGGTTATTAAAGGAAATTATTTGTAATATAAGTTATGAGTAAAGTTGTAGTAGCAAATGCCTATTTAGCATAGTGATATTATCGCTTGTGAATAATTGTATATATATAAAAAGACATTGTAAATATAACGGGAACTAATTTTGTATATAAATTGTGTTGTGTTTCACATAGAGACATTTTTTTAATTTTTTATTTCAATATTCTTATTTAAACTGTTTACTTTCGCTATACTGAAAAACAAGGTAAATTTCAAGTCAAATTTCTGTGAAATGATGTTGTGAATTGAAACTTAACTTGATGTTGTGAACTCAATAATATTACAAAAAAATAAAAGTTTCATTAAGAAGGGCATTTTCAAAAAATACCGCACGGAAACTCTTATATGTTTTGTCTATTATTTTCATTTTGTTCTAACCTATATAAATATTTTGTAAACAAGAAACGGTATGCATTAATAATGTTAACAAAGAATAAATTAAGTTTGAAGCGGAATCGTGCACAGAGCAGAAAAACTGAAATTTTAGTTACTAGATAAATAAACTTTAGTTCCTCAAAAAATATAAGTTTCAGCATTATATATTCTTTTTTTAAATTATGTTTTAAACATTGGTAAAGCTTTCCAGAAAGTTACAGGATTGCACTATGTATCATAGAGTCACAGCAATCGTTTAAATGCAGTTTATGAATGATCACGCACAGAAGTTGCGAATTTGTTAATTTTATGTAGATATTTTATTTTAGATATTAAAATAAACTACTTGTGAGTATTTTAAGTGAAATATTATCCTTCTACGACTCATATTTAATATATTTTTGATGAGAAATGGCAGTCTTCATTATTTCTAGCTAAAGTAAAGCATTTTGAAAATTTTTGTTTAGTTTCAAACTGTAGCGATATTATTACGCAAAAAAATAAAATGATTAAAATATATATATTTAATTTATTCAGATAGCCTAAAATATGATAAAAATATTTTTATTGCAAATATTTTTTAAGAAAATTATTATAGTATAAATATTGCTTTGGATGTGATGGACGGCATTTGAAACTTAATAACCACCTCATATTCGACTCGAGTGTCTTAACACACACTTGTATGTATATCTTAATGCATGCTTAAACTTGAAAAAACTTAAACTTTAGTTCTTTTATATACTATTATATATAATATATTATTTATTTGTTGTAGCTATTTTTATGCAAGTAATACATTTAAAATAATCAAAACTAATAAATACTACCTGATTATGTTATTAAAATTCAGATATATTTATTACTAAACTTGTTAAGATTTACTAAATGCGGAACCATCATGGTCAGATGGGCCAAATTGTCATGAATGCGGGGACAAGTTCGGAATCACTACAAGAAAGCATCATTGGTAATAATTGGGCTTTTTTATTGTTGTTTTTTTTTTTTTCATTATACATATACACACAAACACACGCACGCACACACACACACACACACACACACACACACACATATATATATATATATATATATATATATATATATATATATATATATATATATATATATATATATATATATATATATATATATATATATATATATATATACCACTAGTACAATATACATTTATTACACTTATACTAACATATATAAAACATTATAAAAAATACTTATTTAATTTAATAATTTATAATGGTACATATATATATATATATATATATATATATATATATATATATATATGTACCATTATAAATTATTAAATTAAATAAGTATTTTTTATAATGTTTTATATATGTTAGTATAAGTGTAATAAATGTATATTGTACTAGTGGTATGCACCTATCAAGAAATCTATAAAAGACCAAGACTTTATATTGTCAGATATGCGACAGTATAAAAGTTTCTTATCCTATAAAATTTTGAAAATTATTTCTTATTGTTATTTTTTTTTTGCAGCCGTCATTGCGGTCGTTTACTCTGTAGCAAATGTACAACAAAACAAATGCCGATCCTCAAGTACGATCTCACAAAACCTGTTCGTGTTTGTGAAGTGTGCTTTCAGTTTCTCACGACTTGATAGTTTATTGCTTTGAAAATGAAAACTTCGATTTCAAAGTTAATTAGATTGCCAGGTTTGAGGTCAGGATCTAATCAAATTTGCTTTATTTAAATTAAATATAAAGCGGAAATACCAAAATATAGTAATAACAATGCGAAATATAAATATAGTGTAGAATCGTTTCTAGTAAATATCAAATTTAATTTTTTTAAATATTTAAAAAGGTGTATACTTTTTTGTTTTTTAGCGTTTTAATTTTTTTATAAATCGAACAATAGAAATTTTCGTGCTTCACTTAAAATTTCAATTTCAATAGAAATTTTTTTTGTGTGTGAAACTATTAAAGTCGTTTTAATTTTTCTCAAGATACTTTTCTATATTTTATTATGTTATTTTTTTATTTAAAGTATTGTACCCGAACCTTCAAGAAATAAAATTAATGTATTTGTTATTATATTTAGAGTGATATTTTTCTTAAGTACGGTAGGATTTTTTTTATTAATTGTTGAAATTAAAATTATCTCCTTCTCCGTTCATGTAGTCTTATGTTTTATTCTTTTTATTTTAATAAATTATGCTTTATTCTTTTTAAACTTTAAAAATTTATTTTATAAATTTGAATAAAATCATCAGATTATGGTTTTTTTCCTTTTTAAATTTTATTTTCTTTAAAAATACAATAAGTTAAGATGTTGTATATATCTATGTTATTCAAGCTAGTATAATGTATAATACAAAAAAAAACCTTTAAAAAAACAACTTTCTACGTGATCTTTCGTCTCGAGAAAGAAACGATGATGCGAAATAAGCATCATTATTTTCATTCGAACATTCTTTATTTAGAGCGTATTGTTTATTTCGAATTTTAATGATTCTCTCACTTTTCTCCTAAAAAATTACTTTTAATTGTTATTTTTGTTCCACTCAAAGGCAGTTTTTTTTTAATTTTCCTCTACACACGATTTTTTCCTCTCTTTCTAAAACGTATTTCGTCAGCCGATACATATTGAAACCATTAGTTTACTTTATCCTAACTAAAATCTACCAGACAAATATTTTATTTAGTAGAAAAAACGTTTAACTTTTACAATTGCAATAGCATTTCTTACAATTTTTTTTTTAAACATTTTTACTTCTAACAAGGCTGCAAGCAACTACCATTAGTTGTAAGTTACTGGAAGAGAAAAGATAAAGTTTATATTGCAAGATAAAGAAACGAAAGAAGATGAACAAGATAAAAGGAGCGAAATTCAAAGAACTGATGTTCATGGAAAAAACTAGACGAATAAGAAATTTTTGTACCACTTAGGAACAGTCACAGAAAAAAGGATGAGACATTTGAATGACGAGTAACACTAGAATGAAATTTAGTAGATGACACAAAAGACGCTAGCTCATTAGAGCAGCGCCCATTATAGTAATTTAAATAAAAAAGTCCTTAAATCTCCTTAAAATCCTTAATTTTAGCCTTAGTTTTAATAGTAGAACCCTGATTATATATTTTATTATAAATTCTATTACATATTTTTTGACTCGCGAAACTTGTAAATATTACACCTTTAATTCACAAAATTTGTAAATGTTATATGTAAGGCAAAACATAAGTAGGAAAAAGAAAGAAAGAAAAAAGGATAGAATCCTGAGTAATAAAGTGGCAAGCATGATAAAGAGATGCAAGCTTAACAGATGCTAGTTTAGCAATGGATTTGATACATGGTTTCCATAAAAGATCGGAAGTATGAATTAATCCTAGAAGGTGAAAGGTGTATCACTCATCGAGTACCTTACCGTTCATAAAAATAAGAAGATTAGGACGATTAGCTGAAAAATTGTGTTTAGTCTGAGCTAAAATTCGCCAGCTACCGTGAGCTCCGTCCTGTAGCAGAAGTGAGATTTTGTCCATTCCACAAGCAATTAAAAAGTATCAGCTTCTTATCAAGACAAGTGTAAATAGTAGTATCATCAGCAAATAATGCTACCTTAGATATGAGAATTTCTGGGAGATCGTTAATGTAAATTAAAAAAAGTATAGGGCTAAGGATAACCCCTTAAAGAATCCCTGAAGTTACAGGAAATAAAGTAGAGAGCTGTTCAACAACTTTTATTTTACGATTGGTAAGGAAGGATTCAAAATCTTAAAAATGTTACCTGATGCACCGTAAGAAAAGAGTTTATGGAGAAGACCAGCATGCTAAACTTTATCAAAGGCCATAGAAATGTCGAGAAGGATAGCCTTAACTTCACCACATCTATTTAATCACGATGAAACCAATCAGTTATTACCGTTTAACAAATCAGCAGTAAAACCAGAAGATCAAAATCCATATTGATGATCAGAAAGTAAGTTACTAGATTAAAGATAAGAAGTTAAATGTTTTTTGATTAAAGACTCAAAAACCTTGCTTATGAAAGGATAAAGATTAATGGAATGGTAGTTAGACAAGTCAAATCGCTCTCCTGAATTTTTGTAAATAGGGATAACAGATGTCGTTTTAAAACTGGCTGGAAAACAAGACTCTGATAAGCACTTGTTGAAAATATAGATGACACTATCTAGAGAACACTTCTGCAAGACTATAACAGGTGTTTTGTCCGGACCACATCCTGTCAAAGAGTCTAAGCAGGAAATTACTTTGGATACAGTAGCTGGAGGGATTCAAAAGACAGGCAATGGGTTAACCTGTTTGTCGGCTATATCAGGTAGGATGTGATTAGTGGAACCAAGAGATTAGATTGATGAAAAGCTATTAGCAAACAATACAGCTTTGTCTTTAGGTGAGTTAACAAAATCTGAACCATTCTAGAGAGTTGGAATAACAGATCTGCCCTTATTATAAACGCTGTTAAAGCTTTTCCAGAAAATAATAGAGCCTAATTTTTGAAATGAAATACGAGATTTTGTTACTATAAATCTTTAACAGTGTCTAAAATAAGGGAAAATCTGTAGTTCCACTTTTCTTGCTTGGTTCAGGTTTTGTTAAAAATTGTAAAAAGGTTTTGTCTAACGCCAAAACCCGCTATTTTCAGACTGAGAATAGCTGGTTTTGATGTTAGACAAAACATTTTTACAATGGTTTCTAGCAGTAGTAGCAAATGTCTGCTTTCAGCAGAATTTTTTTAGTGAAAAATATGGAAGTAATGGTTACGATTGGATATTACATCAGCACAGTAGGAGGAAAACTATAAAGAAGAGTGAGGCTTGACTTGGAATTGTCGAGAGGGAATAAAAGATTTTATGCTAGCATGAATCCAAGATGTTACATAAAAAGCACATTTTTCACCAGGGAAGGTGAAAGATTTCTACTCAAGGGTCATCGCAATGAAAATCATGAGAAAAATCTCAGTCAGCTTTAAGGTAATTGTTAGAGGTACAATAATAGGGGATTTCTGATGAGACAATAGTTTTAGAAAGATCAAACCATGATCAGAAGAACCTAAGAGTGAATGTAAGAAACTCAGCTTTACTAGGATTAGAAACAGGACAAAAGTCGAGTAGAGAAGCTAAATGATTTGGTATGTCTTGAAAGCGAGTTGGAAAATGGACTATTTGTTTTAGAGATCGAGAAAGGTAAAAGTTGAGGGCATTAATACCTAAAGAGTCACTAACACTAGAACTTAATAAACTTAATAAAGAACTTATTAGCACTGAAGAAACAATAATAATAATAACTGCCACAGTGCTTTTATACAGAAATATAATGAGTTGAGTGAAACTTATTCTAAAGAAAATAGCCATATATGATCAAAAAGTTAAAAAAGACACATGCATAACAGACGACGTTAAAGCTTTAATATGTAAAAATAAAAATTTATGGAACCAATTAGGAGCTGGTAAATTCAAATATCTGAATATATTAAACGAACACAAAACGGTTATTAAAAGGTAGTTAAAAGCAAGTTAAAAGAATCCAGTATTGATGATAAGAAAAAGCTTATAAATAATGCAAATAAAAATCCGAGATTATTCTACAAATATGCAAAAAAGAATCAATAAAACATCGTTGAAATACAATCAATGAAAAACTACACCAAGGTACTCACTTCTAACAGGCATGAGATTCCAAATTTTGAACCAGGCATTACAAAATTTTTTAAATGGGATTGTATTAAAGCAGTGGCGGATTGAGGTTTAGAGTCGCGGGGGGGCCAAGTCAATGAATAGGGGCGACCGGGGTTGCCTTCAGTAATTTGATCTTATATATATATATATATATATTTTGATTGTTTTAGGGGGCGCCGTTAGACCGTTCTAGGGGGGCGTGGGGGGCAGCTTGCTCCCCCACGCCCTATACTAAATCCGCCACTGTATTAAAGCCGTTACAAATAAGGCAGTTCAAAAAAAACTGGTTTCGCTGGACTTCAACATAGCATACAGTATTATTATTCCTTACGTACTTAAAAAATGTTAAAGTAGTGTCGCAACTCCATTAGCTTTATTTTACCAAAAATCAGTGGAAACAGAAAAAATTCTGCAAATGCAAAGAAGAAAATATCACGCTAATATTCATGAATGGAAGTACAACAGAACCGCTTAACCAAAGATCTGTATCATTAATATCTATAACATAAATATACATCATTCACTAAGTTATTACTACGCGATAACCTAAAAGCAGCTAATTTACATGAAAGAGAGCATTTAAAATTATTATAAAATAAGAGTATGCACATTACAAGCTAATAAAAGCGTCGAGAGTACGATTTCCGTTTTGGTCTGAAGTTTCACGATACAACACCCAACAATAGTCAGCCTCATGCTTTTACTCCAAAATCCTAAGTAACTAACTTCCATAACTTTAATGTCTTGATGAAAACGTTCCCCTAGCTCATCACTCACTGCACAAGGTTTTTGGGAAAAAAGTCTAGACGGGAATGCAGGAACTACATTTTCAAAGACATTAGATAATCAATTTCTTTATAACAATCAATGAGTTTCGAAACTCCATCCTTTTATGCTTGCTCTCCTCAAGAAAACTTGCCCATGTCCATTTAAAGGCTATCCAAGCTTGGACTGAGGACACTTTCAAAATCAGTATCCAATAAAAGCTCAGGGAATTGTGGTCCAACAGAATATCCCACCTTTAATTTTAATGCTATTACTTTTAAAGATTTCATAAAAAATGGAACTCTTGTGAATTAACTTTATCCATTATTTAAACTTATTAAAGAGCTCTGGCGCAGTGGCTAGAGTTCTGGCTTAAAACCAACTAATAAAAATGCTTAAGTTTGAAGTTTGCACAATGCGTGATCTGAAATATCTAGAAATCCTGCGGGCGTCCATGTCTTGAAACACT